CGTCTCGGTGACCAAGTCGACCCCTGACCGGCTGCATGCGAGGCTCGCGCACGTCGGCGTCGACATGATCAAGAGCTCGGCAAAGCATGGCGTTGCTACTGGGCTCGACATCATGCCGTCGACCAGAGAAGACCCGCCGTGTGTCTCGTGCGTCGGAGGAAAGCTGGCGCGGCACACCTTCCCCGACAAGGGATCGGACGCCGAGGAGGCACTGACTGTCGTGCACATTGACTTGTGCGGGCCATTTCGGGTGGCTGCCAAGGATGGCAGCTTGTACTTCCTGCTGCTGAAGGATCGCCATACTCGGTTCGTGTGGGCAATGCCGGTCGCTAAGAAGAGCGACGCACTGCGGGAGTTCCAGAAGTGGCTGGTGCTGGTGGAACGGCAGACGAAGCAGTCGGTGCTGTCGCTTCGCTCCGACCGGGGAGGGGAGTTCCTCGGAAAGGATTTCACCAACTTCGTCGACGGGAAGGGCATCGTCCACGACCTGACGTGCCCCTACACTCCGCAGCAGAACGGCATGGCTGAACGGGAGATGCGCACGGTCGTAGAGTCCGTGCGGACGATGCTGCTGCACATGGGCGTGCAGCACCACTGGTGGCACCTCGCTCTTCGACAGGCTGTATGGGTGCGCAACTGCTTGGAGCGGTCGACGACGCCGCCGGGGACGACGCCGTACCAGCTGCTAACCGGGAAGAAGCCCGACCTCACGTTGGCGCGGGTGTGGGGCTGCACGGTGCAGTTCATGATTCCCGAGCAGCAGCGCGGTGGGAAGCTGGCGCCGAAAGCTCGTTGGGGGCTTCACCTGGGTGTGTCGCCGGAGAGCAAGGGCTGGGAGGTGCTCGACCTGACTGACAACAAGGTGGTCACGTCGGTTGAGGTGATCTTCTACGAGACGCTGTCGCTGGAGGTGTGGAAGGCGAAGTATGGGCCGGCGTCGGGGCGGACGCAGGCACACCCGCCGACGGACACCTCGACGGCGACGGTTCCACTGCTTGCCGAAGTCGACGAGCCTGCAGATGAGGATGTTGTGGAGGTTCTTCCACCTCCCCCTGTTCTTGCTCCTCCCTTCCCCGTCGCAGATCGGCCTGCGTCGACGCCTGTGTCGGCCGCGGGCGATGAGGGGAGCCATGAGGCGTCGCCTGTGGCGCCGGCCAGTGGCATCGCCGGCAGTCGACAAGGCGCCAAGCTCGTCAACCAGGATGAGCAACCGAGGCGGTCGACAGGGGAGCCGGTCGAACAGGAGACAGCAGCAGGGGTGCAGTCGACAGGGGAGCAGCAGCCAGGGCGGTCGACAGGGGAGCTGTCGAAGTCAGCAGCAGGCGAGCAGCCGGTCGAAGGGTCGAAGCAGCTGGTCGACGACGAGGACGTCGATGAGGAAGGGAAGCAGTCGGCGGGTGAGGAGTCCACCGACAGCGACGTGGTGGAAGTGCCGATCACGAAGCCTGAGCTGCGACGCACATCTTGAGCTCGACGGCCGCCGGAACGGCTGAGCTTCCACGCCTGCCTACCGCCAGCTGCCTTCACCACGGTGTACGACAAGGTCGACGACGACCCCGAACACCGCTGGGACATCGCCATGATGACGGTGAAGGAGGCGCTGGCGAGCTGGAAGGGCGAGGCGGTGAAGGCCGCCATGGAAGAAGAGATCCGCAGCCTCATCGGCATGGGCACTTGGGAGCTGGTCGAACGCCCACGCGGGGTGAACATCATGAAGAACCGGTGGGTGTTGGCGACCAAGTACTGCATCGACGACACCGTCGAGCGCGAGAAGGCGAGGTTGGTCGTGAAGGGCTTTACGCAGGTGTACGGCGCCGACTACGACGAGACGTACTCGCCGGTGAGCAGCTACGTCACGCTGAGGATCTTCCTCAGCATTGTCGCCGTCCTCGACCTCCACTTGATGCAGCTCGACATGAAGAACGCTTTCCTGCAGAGCAAGCTCGACAGGGTGCTCTACATGTACCAGCCGGACTACTTCGACGATGGGACCGGCCGGGTGTGTAAGCTGCTGAAGAGCCTCTACGGGCTGAAGCAGTCGCCGCTGCTGTGGTACAGGGCTCTCGACGGTGTTCTGCTGGGCGCTGGCTGGAAGAAGAGCCAGGTCGACGAGGCGCTCTACTTCAAAGCCGGCGACGACGGAGTGACCTGCTGGGTGCTGGTCTACGTCGACGACCTGCTCGCCGCCAGCAGCAGCCCCGCGATGCTGAAGGAGCTGAAGGAGCTGCTGGAGGCCGCCTTCGAGTTGCGCGAGATCTTGCGCGAGATCTCGCCGGTGCAGAAGTACCTCGGGCTGGAGATCGTGCGCGACAGGCCGGCGAGGAAGCTGTGGCTGCACCAACAGAACTACGCCGACAAGCTGCGCAGGCGCTTCATCGACGAGGAGTAGGGCGGTCGAGTCCCGAAGACGCCGGTCTCGGTCGACGCCTACGCTCAGCTGACGTTCGACGACGAGGAGGCCCAGGAGCGCGAGGAGGAGGAATGCGGGCAGAAGGTCGGCTCGCTGCAGTTCGCGGCGATGACGACGAGGCCGGACATCGCGTTCGCCTGCAGCAAGCTGGGGAGCGGCCTCACGGTGAGGAGCGACCAGCATTGGCGCGAGGTCGACCGCTGCCTCGCCTACCTCGCCGACACCCGCGACACCGCCCTGGAGTTTGGCAGTGGACCAGAGTCGCTGGAGCTGATCGGCTACGTGGACGCCGATGATGCGGGCGACAAGCAGAACCGGACGAGCACGGGCGGATACGTGTTCGTCTTTGGAGGGGCCGCGATCTCCTAGTCGAGCCAGTGCATCAAGTGCGCGACGCTCTCCTCGACCGAGTCAGAGTATGTCACGGCCACGGACGCCGGCAAGGAGGGGCGTCGACTGCGCTTCCTCCTAGCAGAGTTCAAGCTGCTCGACGCAGGGAAGCCGACCGTCCTCCGCGTGGACAACAAGTCGGCGATCACGGTCGCTGAGGGCTTGGGGGTGACGGGCAACCTCAAGCACATGGAGCGACGCTACGCCTGGCTGCAGCACATGGTGAGGCGCGGGAAGTTCGTGCTGAAGTACATCCCGACCACCGAGCAGCCGGCAGACACCCTGACAAAGGCGCTGCATTTTCCGGCTTTCAACTGGTGCTCTGTCGCCATCGGCCAAGTTCGTCTGGCCGACGTCGGCGACGGCGACGATGAGGTGTAGCAGTAGGTGCCGTGCCCTTCTGCACGGCTGGTGCGGTGACGGCGTGCTGTGTGTGGGGTGCACGCCGAGGAAGAGTTTTCTCCGTGGAGTACTGCCGTGTGGGCTGGAGGCCCAAGCGTGAGCGCGGCAGGGGAGTGTTAACGGAAATGGAGTGTTGGCCCCGCCCTCGCTTGGGCAACGCCGACGACTTGGTCGGATGTACGGGAGTAGCAGCCGACCGTTCACAATGGGAGAGCTGCTCGGCAGGCTTGGCCGAGGTGCAGGGGACCGCTGTGGTGTTGCTGCCGACCAGGGAGCTCGACAGCTGCAACTGACTGGTCTGGGCGACGGGTGGGCCGTCGACCAGGAGGGGCAGGTAGACCTTGAAAGCTGATTGAAACATGGGTAATTACATTCTGGGTAACCAACATTGAGCCCGCTGACGTCAAAAGTCACCTACGTGGCTCGATGGTACCCGTCAGATCATGCGCGCCCCTTGGTGGTACCCATCTTCCCTCCGTGGTACCCATCTTCCCTGCGTGGTACCCATCAACTGTGCGTGAATTCCCTGACTGGTACCGCAACATTTCAACCGAGCTGTACACCGTACAACAAGGGTTTCAATGCGATTTTCACTATATTATACCAACGTTTTCTGTCTGCAATTGAACATTAATACATTTGAACATTAATACCTTTGAACGTGCCTTACACTGGATAGAGTGCAACCTAGAAAAAATCAACTCCCCTTCTAAAATCCTCACGTTACCTCCGAACCTTTGTAAGCTCACATCAATGAGCGATAGGTAGCGTGAATCTTACGACCATGTTTCTCAGCGCGCAGTTGGTAATCTGAACAAAGTTCATAAGGTTGTATGCAAATAAATTGAGCATGTACCCCCACATCTAAATAGAAAAGCATAAACAAATAATACGTACATACGTTGGTTTCTGGAAACAAAACAATACCCATTAATGAAAATCAAATAACCTTAAGTCAATATATATGTTATGTGTCAGTTGATCGTTTGTTACACGGATGTTAATTTTTGTGTTTCGGTTGATGCAATATATCTGTGGTGATTTAAATTATAGCACGTTATAATGTGGATGTTTATGAGCCTAAAGAAATCTACACAATAAATGTTTTCCTAAATTCAGCTTTTCTTCTACACTTTATTATAGGTAATGCGCTTGAAAATTTGACCCGATTATGTGGCACTTCGGGCTTCGGACTCTATTGAGCTTGTAAACGTTAAGACAATATAGTGAAAAACGCATTGACACCCTTGTTGTACGGTGTACAGCTCGGTTGAAATGTTGCGGTACCAGTCAGGGAATTCGCGCACAGTTGATGGGTACCACGCAGGGAAGATGGGTACCACGGAGGGAAGATGGGTACCACCAAGGGGCGCGCATGATCTGACGGGTACCATCGAGCCACGTAGGTGACTTTTGACGTCAGCGGGCTCAATGTTGGTTACCCAGAATGTAATTACCCATGTTTCAATCAGCTTTCAAGGTCTACCTGTCAGGAGTATTTATAAAGACTAAGCTACCGCAGGTCCGCATTGTGCACTAGCATTTATTTTGACGAGGTGTGGCGGCGTCCTCACTTCCCTCTGCGACCATTTTCGTGTTCTTGTTCTCTGGAGGCTCCAGGCCTGGGTTGCGAGAATCCCTCGCAGAGTTCGTGACTGATTGCTCCAGTGTTCTAACTTCGGCCTCTGTGCACACCTCGCATTAGCATTAGGGTTCTCCGTCCTCCGTTTCGTCAGCCTCACATGCTGACATTTTGCTAGGTCTGTCTACATTTTCGTGTTTTGAAGTCCAAGGAAAGATGAACCGCGTCAAAGCCGGTCGCAAAAAGGCCGAAGGCGGTGCCAGATCGTTGATCCCCTGTATAGTCTTCCTCATTTCCGCCGCATGCGTCATATTGGTCATTTCATACACTGGCGCAAACATCGCCACGAAACCATCATCCGCGCAGCCCGGCGCAAAGAACCCGCGCGGAGGGGGGGAAAGCGCGGACGTCATGGAGGAAGGGGGAGGGGAGGGGGATGAAGGGGGGGAAATCTCGTTCGTAAAGGGCGGCGTAGGCGCGGCGCCGTTCCTTCCGGATTTCGATCTGAGCCGTCCCGTGGAGCACGGGCCGAAGGGGAAGCGGTTGAGTAAAGAGGAGCAGGAGTACGTGAGCGCGGAGGCGGAATACCAGGTGAGAATCGCGACTCGATTCTGATGTGGAAGATGGAAGAGGAGCAGGAAAATGTGAGCGCGGCGGCGGAATACGAGGTGAGAACTAGGAGTAATGCGCGTATCGTTGAGCACCAACTGTAAGGTACAGATTGAGATGTAAAGAAAATATGTCCGAGTGGGCCACAGTTAGGTGCCATGACTTTACGTGGCAGCAACTATGATGTTTATCACCAGCTGCAAGGTACGGATTGAGATGTAAAAAAATGCGTGTCGCTTTCAGGTAAAGATTGGTGTCAGGGAGAAAGGAATCGTTTGGGTAGGAGAGTAAGAGGCGTTGGTGTTGTGAAGACTCTGATTGATTTATATATCAGATATCTGTTTCTTGGAAGGAATGAATTTTGCAAGTGGAGCGTGAGCCAACTGTGTGTCTGAAAGAAATGAAATGTGTGCCAATGCCACGCATACCTTTTAGCTTATACGTTAATGTTGTAAATTAAATTCCCCCCCACCACCTCCTCTCCTTTCACAGATGCGGCTGGCGCGCCGCAACGAGCTGACGGGCGGAAAGCGCCCCGAGCCGCCGTTCCCGCGGTGGAAGCCGGGCAAGATTAAGGAGGTCTTCCTCACGCCCACCTACCCCTGCAAGCGCGCCGAGCGCCTGGGAGGGGTCGGGGCGGACGGCGAGGGGGGAAAGGTGAGGCTGGTTGGCTGGTTTTTAGTGTATTGAATGGGTGGGTCCTACTGGGGTAGGTCGTAGTGGGGTAGGTCGTAGTGGGGTAGGTCGTACTGGGGTAGGTCGCAGTGGGGTAGGTAGAAGTGGGGTAGGTCGAAGTGGGGTAGGTCGTACTGGGGTAGGTCGTACTGGGGTAGGTCGTAGTGGGTGGGGGGGTCCTACTGGGGTAGGTCGTAGTGGGGTAGGTCGTAGTGGGTGGGTGGGTCCTACTGGGGTAGGTCGTACTGGGGTTGGTCGTAGTGGGTGGGTGGGTCCTACTGGGGTAGGTCTTGGTGGGGTAGGACTTACCGTCTTGGTGACGAGCTGGGAAGGACGGACGGAGGTGTGTTCTCACGCCAACCTCAATCCCTCTCTTTCTGCCTTCCTGCTTCTTTCCGTCATAAACCCCCTACCCCCTTCTCCCCTCTCCCCTTCTCCCTTCTCTCTCATTTTCAAGTATACCTCTGAAATTTCCGCCCGCGTCCCTGTCCCGCCCCGCCCCCGCCCCTGTCCCGCCTCGCCCCCACCTCTGTTCCCCCTCGCCCCCGCCCATGTTCCCCCTCGCCCCTGCCTGTCACCCCTTCTGACAGTGGGTGTGCAATATTCGGAAACTGAGAGGGGGAGGCAGGCGACCCATCCCCATGCCTCTGACCTCCCCACCCCCGTCCGTGTCCCCACGCCCCTGTTGCCCCTCGCCCCCATCCCTGTCCCCCTCCGCCCCGTCTCTGTCCCCACGTTCGCCAGTGGGTGTGCAATATTCGGAAGCTGAGAGGAGGGGGAAGGCGACCCATCGTGTACAGGTGAGGGGGATGGGGGGGGTTTGGGAGGGGGAAGGTGGGGGGGGTACAGAGAGAGGAAACGGAAGTGGTTGTGTGACATCAGAAAGCTGAGAAGGGGAGGCAGGCGAGCTTTTGAGAATTCTCGGAGTCTTTGAGAATTCTCAAAAACTCCTGGAAACGGAAGTGGTTGTGTGACATCCGAAAGCTGAGAAGGGGAGGCAGGCGATCCATCATGTACAGGTGAGGGAGAGTGTAGCCGGATTTCTCTGGCGAAGAATGGAGGGACAAAGGAAGGGGGAAAGGTGTGGGGGAAAGGCGAGGGGGAGATGGGAGGTGAGGGCGGTGGAGCATGGGGAAAGGTGGATGGGGAAAGCTTAGGGAGTGGGGAGGGGGGAGTGGGGATGGGGAGTCAACTTGTGACAAAAGTTTCCTCTCTCTTGCATCCCTTCCCCCCCCTTTTGCAGTGTGGGGAGTGCGGGTGCTGCGCACCAAGGCGTTCACCTTCGACACCCTCTCCCTTCCCTTTCCCTCTTTCGTCTCTTTCCAATCCCTCTCCTTTCCATTCCTGTTCCCTTCACCTTCCCCCTCTCCTTCCCCCCACTCTCCCTCCCAGTGTGGGGAGTGAAGGAGAAACCTCCTTTGAGCAGGCAGTGAGGGAGGGCTTGCGCACCAAGGCGTTCACCTTCGACCCGTGCCATGCCCCTTTCATTCCCTTCCCCCCTTTGCAGCGTTGGCAGTGCGGTGGAAACCTCCTTTGAGCAGGCAGTACGGGAGCGCTTGCGAACCAAGGCGTTCACCTTCAACCCGTTCAGACCCTTCCCCTTTCCCTCTCCGTCCCCTTTCTGTTCCCTTCCCATTCTGCAGCGTCGGCAGTGCAGGAGAGACCTCGTTTGAGCAGGCAGTACGGGAGCGCCTGCGCACCAAGGCGTTCACCTTCGATCCGTTTCTGGACGACCAGCAGGCAGCAGCGCTGCGAGCCAAGCACCTGCTGCGCTACATCCCCATCGGGCTGGGCGCGGGGAAACAGCTCTCTGCTTTAAGGCGGGGGGCGCCGGGGAAGCGGTTTGCCACGCTGGCCCAGCTTATGGGGAAGCTGAACCACTCGCACATTGACGTGCTTAAGGTGAGTTTGTGTGCTCAAACGTCTTTTAATGAGGACACGAATTGATGGTACATAGGAGGGTGTGTATTGGCATGGCTTACATGAGCCCAAGCACCTCCTGCGCTACATCCCCATCGGGCTGGGCGCTGGCAAGCAGCTGTCCACTCTGAGACGGGGAGCGCCGGGCAAGCGGCTTGCCACGCTGGCCCATCTGATGTGGAAGCTGAACCACTCGCACATCGACGTGCTTAAGGTGTGTTGGTGGACAAGGATTTATGCTTCAAAGGTGCGTGCTGGCACGCCTTGGATCAGCACCCCAAGCACCTGCTGCGCTACATCCCCATCGGGCTGGGGGCGGGCAAGCAGCTGTCGGCGCTCAGGAGAGGGGCGCCGGGGAAGCGGTTTGCCATGCTGGCCCAGCTGGGAAGCTGAACCACTCTCATATTGACGTGCTCAAGGTGGGTGGGCGTGTACATGTGATTGACATGTGTGTACGTACGTGCACACTGACCCTTTCTCTCCCCATATCGCTCCCCTTCCTTTCAGATTGACTGCAAGCGCTGTAAAGAGCGGCTCATGGGGGATCTGCTCAACCCTCCCCCATTCCGTCAGCTCCCCTGTTCCACGTGCCCTTTCCCCTCAACAACTGACTTGCTCTGTGTGACCCATTCCTCCCCCCCCCCCCCCCCCCCGGCCCCCTTCCCCTCCGATTGACTGTGAGCGCTGTGAGGAGCGGCTGATGGAGGATCTGCTGAGCAGTCCCCCCTCCCATCCGCTCAGCCCTTTCCATCGGGTGCAACCTGCCCCTGTATCTGCCCCTTTTATCTTCCCCCTATCTACTTTCCATCAGATTGCCGCTTGCCCTGCAACTCGTGACTTTCTCTGTCACTGTCCATTCTCTCACCCCCCAACCCGCCTCCTTTCCCCTCCCATTCCCCTTAGATTGACTGTGAGCGCTGTGAGGAGCGACTGATGGAGGATCTGCTCAGCACTCCCCTACCCGCTTGCCCCCTGCCCTTCAACTCGTGACTTGCTCTGACACTGCCCATTACCCACCCCCTCCTCACGCCCCTATCTCTCAGATTGACTGTGAGCGCTGTGAGGAGCGGCTGATGGAGGATCTGCTCAACACGTTTGGCAAGGAGAATCCGCCAGCAGAACAAATCTTAGTGGAGATTCACCAGTGAGTGCTGTGCTGTGCTGTTTCTGCAGCTCCAGAACTCGAATATCTGACTGACACTCTTGTGAAATCTCGTGCACATGCACACAGGTATGTGATACGCAATTTTCGGCTGCATTTTTTTGCTGGTAGCAGAAGCACGAGTTTGCTCTTACCCTTTACCTCCTGTGCTTCACATTCTTTCACATCCATTCAGGATTCGCCACGTGGCCAGGACCACCCAAGTCCTCTTCCCATTGGAGGACATGGGTTACCGCCTCTTCAATGCAGAGGCCAACCCACGCTGTAACAGCTGCTACGAACTTTCATTCGTTCACGAAAACTTCTTAAAACCCAAATCCATGTTTCCGACTCCTGAGACTCCTGCTACTGCCGGTGATGCTGCTGGTGCCGGGGATGCTGCTGCTGACTCTGCAGCTGATACTGCCGAAGCTGCTGCCGATGCTGCTGCTGACGCTGTCGCTGCTGCCGCTGCGGATTCATCTGCAGAAGATCCTGCTGGTGATGCCGCTTCTGCCGGTGATGCAGGGGGTGAAAGTCAATAATTGACTACTTTAGGTTTGATTTGGTTTGCCGTTGACTTGCTTCCCCGGCTTACCTAGGTTGTCATTACCGGTGATACCAATATGTTTGGAGTTTCATTGGCTGTAGTGACAAGAGTAGCAGGTAGGATCAGGCCCTCAGATTGGTTTTGGGCTAGGCTGAAAAATCAGAGTTGGTACACGACTTTACTCTGAAAACCAGACAAAAAAGGCAAAAATACCACTGCATACAGGAAAAACCTCATTTTCCTGCTTTGTTCCAAAAAAAGGCTGGACTTCCAGAGTTCACTTAAAAAAAGGCTGAAATATCAGAGTTTTTCGGGCAAACCAGAGAAATTTATCTGACTTCTGGGGGCCTAGGATATAAACACCAAAAACCAAATTTACAGGCCACAAGCTTACTGATTTCCAAACCTAGTAGTGAACTGTATCCGTAAGCAGTTAATGTGTCATTTCACAAAGCTGTTGGTGCCAACTTCCAGTACACTATTTGGTGTATGGCACAGCTCATCAGTGGTTAGAGAGAGTGGTGAAGAGGAAGCGGGTAGAAGCCGAGTCCTCGCTTCCTTCACAGCTCCTACTGCCCTCGATACTGTCGAGTTTCAGGGCTTCCAAGCTGACAGTTATTGTGCTTCCCCTTGCCGACACAATCCATTGATGCGACAGAACTTCGTCAATGCTGAGTCTCTTCGCCGGGTCGACCTCCATCATCCGACGGACGAGATCTCTCAAATCGCTCGACACGGACGGCCAAGGTCTGACGGCGAAATCGACCGGCCGCAATTCCCTGCGATCGTTAGGAAAAGCGGGCCAATCGGCGCATACCATCATGTAGAGAACAACTCCGAGAGACCAGATGTCGGCTTTAAGGTCATGGCCCTCACACGCAAGCACCTCTGGCGCCTCGTACGGATAGCTCCCGACCACGTTTCTCAATTCCTCGCCGTTGCGAATCTCCTGAGCCAATCCAAAGTCTCCGATTCGAACCTCAATATCTTCAAGCCCGCAATTGGACTGTAGGTGTTTATCTTCCGCCTCGGAGGGAGTAGTACGAGAATTGGAGATTGTAGTAGCTTGTTGATGCTGGGCTGTCAGCACAGACATCGGTACAGATTTAAGGAGCTTGGATGACGTCAGCAGGATGTTTTCGGGCTTGATGTCGCGATGAGCCACGTCGAAGTGGTGGCACCAACGAAGCCCTCGAGCAATCTGAAGAAATATGTGCCTCGCGGTCGGTTCATCCAGGCCGTTGGTTTCCGCGATGAGATCGAACAGGTCCCCACGTGTGCAGAGATCCGTCATCAGGTACAACGCATTTTCATCCTCGTACGCGTCGCGGAGAGAAAGGACATTCTTGTGGCCCGATAGTAGACACATTGTAGTCACCTCGTAGTAAACTCCCTCTATTTCAAAGGAGGAAAGCCCTGACTTGAGAATCTCTTTGCAGGCGTGAAGACTCCCTGAGGTTCGGTCGACGCATCGCCAAATCCGTCCTGAAGTACCTTCACCAATTATGTCAGAAAATGTGAAACGTTTCCGCATCTCGCGAGCAGACGGAAGGAAATGCTCCATTTTTAGGCGTCGCGCTGGACTCGCAAGAAGATGTTACTAGAGAACGGGGGTGAAGGTTGTCGAAGAGAGCTGTCAGGGAAAATGACTCAACGATGCCTGCTGCAACCACCGCGTGCACTAACAAAATATGCTGCTGCTGATACATAGGAAGTTTGTAATGGCAGCAACGGAAGAGCCGAGTTCCCTGGCGGAAGAAACATCGAATCTTCAAATCCCATGGCCGCCGTATCATGAGAGAAATGAGAGAGGCACACAAGGACCAACGCTTGAAGCGTTGCTGCTGACTGTTGCCCTTTGGCAGTGAGCAAGCAAGCATTCTTTCCTTGAAGCTTTCAATCTGGCGGCCAGCTTGCATACAGTATCCGATTGCAGGTAAAGATTGCCCTCACACGTCCCATCCAAAACGTTCGTTTCCCCTCATCACCCCACCCAACCATTCTAGATTATTATCTGACCCCTATTTACTGAGCTTCACCCGAAGGAACTTTTCGGACGCCCACCTGAGGTTGCTGAAGGGGGACTGAGGAGACAGTGGATCAAGGCAGGAGGCGGAGTGGTGTGGCCGTGGTAGGCGAATTGGACATTTTGCATATTTTTTTGCGGTCTGCTGCGAAAGGACTTCGGTTCGGTCGATATACAGTGTTTTATTTTGCCCCACTGCACCACGATGGACGAAAGACTGCAGCATGCGATATCGCGGTCACGATTCGAAAAAGGGCAGGAAACAATGTACGTGTATGTCACACATTCTCCAATTGCCTTGCTGCAGAAACTGTACGTGTACTGGCAGGAAACATTATTATCGTTCGATTGCGTTTCACAATGTTTGTTGTAACGGATTGGTTCTCGATTCACATCCCACCAGCATCGGGGCTTGGACAGCTTGTCCAACGTCTTTCCCACCATGCTGAAGCCTGTTCTTGATTTTGTGTGGAGACTTCTGGGCCTTTCTGCAGCCCATGGCATCCACTTTTGCAGTACCGTAATGTACCCCCAAATGATCCTGAGCTGGGTTCTTTGGTGGAGTTCTGTGTCCTCAGCTCACATACATGATCCTGTGTCGGTTCGCTTGTCAAAAATAGAAGATTAGTACAAACGACTCATGCATTGTAGGTGTCAGAAGAAATGGCAGGAGTAGCACCAATGAACTGTTGGTGCTTTATTCTTGCCTTCAATATAAAGCTCCCCCTTATTCAAGCGTCTCCTGTCTGCGCTATCCATGAGTTATAACGAGGATTCAAGCAGCTGTGCGCAGAGCTCCCCCAATTCTCTCCAGAACCGCAGCACGGTCGCCACCGTTGTTGGAGCCTTCGCCCTCATCCTCCACGTCAGACTTGCCCAGATCCAAAAACTGCTCCTTGGACTCCTCGGGAGCGGGCTGCTCCATGCCGAAAACGGCGAATTTGCAATCCGCACGGAGAATGTCGGACACTTGGTAGTCCTTAGGGGAGCCTTGAATCTTACTGTTCCAAACCGAACTCGATCCCCCTGTCTGCCTAGATTCCTCAGACCCTTGAGGCTGCTGCTTCTGGTCCGAGGTCGAGTTCTCGTCTGTAGCCTTTTGAGCGCCGACGCTGTCAGTTAAAAGAGCAGATATCACCGAGTAGTCAAGGTTAGTCCCCTCCTCCATAGCCTCATCGCGGTACATTTGTCCCAAGACGCCATGCACGTCCATGGAATAATGCACCTGCTCCAGCTCGAGATTCAGATGCACCATCGTGTCGCCGTCGCGCTGTAGCAGCGGGTGCGCGGCGCGCACGCGGATCTCGGCCTCTAGGAGGCCCTCGATGCGGATGGTGTACTTGTCCACGTCAGCACTGCCCGGACCCGACTTCTCGTGCGCGTCCATGGTGACGGTAGCCTGGCCGTCGAAGAGGGAGAGCTCGTCGCCGAGCTGCTTGGGAGAAACAGAGAGAGAAAAGGAGCGAGAACCGGGGAAAGCGGATGAGAGAACCATTTGAGAGTGTGTGGTGGTAACTTTCTGGGTTTGTTGTTTCCCCGCAAGGAGGAACTGGGTTATGTAGTGATCAGTGATTCAAACGGAAACTTACCATGAGCCTGGGAACAAGGGTGCCGTCAACTTCCAGGGCGGCCAAGTAGCCCTCGCCTCGCGCCTCTTGCGGTCCGCGGCGCGACACAAATCGCATACTGTGTACTGGCCTTTCCTTGCGACCCTTGGTAGTGTTCGCCTCGCCTTCGGCCAGCGCTTGCCACACGAACCCGAGCTCGCGGATCCAGACACGTGGCGTGGGCTGGTTGGCGGGGTTGGCGAGCGTGGTGCGGCGGTCGAGGTAGCCGCCGAGGCGCATGTTGATGTGAAGCTCGGGATCGGAGAAGAGGCAGAAGGAGCGCTCCGAGAGGGAGGTTTGCAGAGAGGAGGAGATGGCTGGTAAGTTCTTCTCCTTCTTGGGAGCATCGCCGTTGCACCGACCGCCGACACTGCAATGGAGGCATGGAGAAGATTATGTCAGTATTACATCGCGAGCTAGCCGCGAATGCGGACCAAATGGGTTCGGGTAATGACAGGGAAATGGGTTGTGTTTTGTCGGCTGGGAGTAGGGCAACTTACTATGAGTTCGGGTCCTTAGGCGTGTAGACAGTCCTCTTGATTTCGGCCGAGTTGTCGCTGCTGCACAGGCTCGCGGTGTATAGGTAACACAACCCATTCTCAACAAAGTAGTTCCAGTAACTGCAGATCGCCTGCTCTCGGCACTTGTTACAGCAATCGGCGGGTTGAGCCGCCTTCCCAAGCCTCAGCCCGCCTCGAGCTGCGGGCAACTGAAATTTCTTTGACGAGGACACGTTGAACTTTCCGCGGAAAACATACCGGCCGCAGGTTCCAGCGCTGCAGGCTGCTTGAGGTTCCGCGAACGACGGACAGCTTGCTGCGGACGACGTTCGGACTGATACGAAGGTTGTAAAAACGGCCAAGCTCAAAACAAAGAACCGGACCGTGCTAGCAGTGACCGCCATCTTGCTTCGACGAATTATGCAGGCGTAGGTCGCTCGACAGGTCTTGAAGGAAGAAATCGCCGTTTCTAATGGGCGTAAGTTGCAAATGCTGGGTTCGCCCTTCCGATTTATATGCTGCGGAGGATGGCTTCACTACTGTTGGAACTTGGAATAGTCAGCACAACGAGCATTCCCAACGTTCCTTGAGCTTGACCTGTTGGTGGTCGTTGTTTTGCAATTTGCAATGTCCGCGGTTCGACCTCTTGCGCTGCGAGCAGAGAAGGAGCGCGCTGGAGGCGTATCCAATTCGTGAAAATTGCAAAATGAAATATGGGAAAAAATTTTGCGCTAGCACGCGCAGCGAATATTTGAAATACTGCATTGGCGAAAGCTCCGTCTGGTTGAAATAGTTCGCCCTCGCGAAATCGATTTTGCTTAGTAATTATATGGTAACCAACTTTTAACTAAACGTCGAGATGGCCGAGATGGTCTAAGGCGCTGGATTAAGGTTCCAGTCCGAAAGGGCGTGGGTTCAAATCCCACTCTCGACAGTTTTCTTGTGCTTTTCACATGCGCCTTTGGTTGCGACTTTCTGTTGGACCAGGAGAGTTGGCTAGCGTTTGTTGTACAATAACCAAGCAGACTATATACAATAGCGAAGCCAGCTCCAGAAGATTCTATCAGTACCATCTGGTTTTGATTGGACTCCCAGCCCCACGTCAGCCTGTCACTCCCCTGTCCATCCAATTAGAGTTATTTCTCCCACGAATCCCAAGGCTGCCCGAGACACCTTTCCTTCTCCACAGGAGGTGCAAATTTTCCTATCCACGGGAACATAAATGTGCGTGCGTGGCTGGATAATTATCCACAGCAGCAGTGATCCCACCACCACCACCTTGCTGCCCTTTCCCTTACCGCTTCCACCCAGATCAGCCGTTTGTGATTGGTCGATCGCCAAATGTGGCAGGAGGGAGGGAACGGAAGATTGGAGATCCCTAGGCTATCTGAGATGCTGCCGCTGCTCTTGAGAGTGCTTCAGTTTTCCTTGTCCATTTCTCGAGGGACATGTGAGAGTTTCTGAGTGACGATCTCGAGGTTAGTTTGTCAGCCTCTTCATTCATCAGTTCCTATTTCTGAAAGAGTCTGTCCACGAGCGAGTGCGTGCATCTCTCTTCGCTCGAAATCGCTCGTTTTCCTTTCAAATATCGATTTCTATTTATTGGACCTATTTTCCTCCGTCAGTTCATTGCGAGTTGGTTCTACCTCGCCAGAAATTGTTGGTAGTCTACGGCAATGGAGACGAGCTGCATCTCCAGGTTATCCGCATCATGCATTTTCCCGAGTCAATGTGCTGTTTCATCTGCTAGCAGAGCAATAGAGTCGAGAACTCTCAGGACACAGGCTACGCTGCGAAATGTTAGCATGTCTAAGTTCGCTGGCCCTGCGAGGCCGAGTCCAGGTCTACGTGGCACGTCCACGTCTGCAAAAAGTCACTGTAGCCTTATGACCGTCCAATCTTCGCCTCCAGATGTCACCGTCAAAGCTGCGAGCCCTTCCCAGCCGATCGGTGCTCTAAGATCAACGGTGGCCACTGCTGTGGCTGCTGTCGTATCCGCTGCTGCGGCATTCCGGGACGCGGCAGAAGCAGCTCCGACAAGCGTACAAGAAGCCGCTCAGCAAAGACACGCGGAGGAGGAACGGCTAGAAGCGTCGTTTTTCGACGGTGTCCGAGCCAGAGCGACACCCTCGCTATTGTCACTCGCTGCCATGTCAGCAGCGCCGCTGGCCATCCCCATTAAGAGCTCTCTTACGGCCTTCTTCTCCAACCTTCGCGCGAACCCCACCTTCATGTCGGCTCTTATTGCGTGGGCCCTCGCGCAAATCCTCAAGGTGAGCGGTAAAGCTGGTTAAGCCTCAGATAGTTTAAATCCGCAAAGCTCGTCGTCTCATTAGTTACCAGTGCCCATACGCCCATAAACTCATGTTTCACGCTGTAATGAATGACAAGGAAAAATCCAGGCATTCACAACGATGGACGTTAGGAGGCATATTGATAGTGTGACAAAGGAATCAACTAGACCTTGTTCGTTTGCACTCGCTCGGAATCATCACTTCTTGTTTCCTGACACCATTGCATAACATTTGCCCAGCCCATTCCCTAAGCCACCCTTACCATCACTCTTCCGATATTCGCCTGGCCTGCAAATGACTAACGCTTTGCCACCACCTTTCCCCCCCACATTCATTTCACCCTTACCAAATCCGTCCACTCTTCCCCCCGAATCCTTCCAACCCTCAACCATTCACCCGCTCCAGGTGTTCACGAACCTCTACTTCAAAAAAACGTTCGACATTCGAATGGTTGTGTCGTCAGGCGGCATGCCGTCGTCGCACACGGCCCTCTGCGTCGCCGTCACGACCTCCGTCGCTCTGCTGCACGGCGTGGGGGGCCCACTGTTCCCCATCTGCCTCGCGTTCTCCTCCATCATTATGTACGACGCCACCAACGTGCGCTACCACGCCGGCGTGCAAGCAGAGGTACGTTCCTCACTCAATGTGGAAAGATTACAGCAGCAGAGATGTGTGTCAGGGGGGTGGGTGGTGTTGCATTGCATGTTCTTCATTGCTGCTGCAGAGCAGACCCCATCTGCCTCCCGTTCTCGCTCATCATCATGTATAACGCTACCAAGGGGGAGTGCAATCAGAGGTACGCTCTTCACTGCTCCACAGCAGACCCACTCTGCCTTGCGTTCTCGCTCATCGTCATGTATGACGCCACCAACGTGCGCTGCCACGCTGACGTGCAAGCAGAGGTACGGTTCTTTTCTACTGCACAGCAGACTTCAGAGTCGGTGTTGGGACAATCAGTGGGGTGTAAGTATGGCTGTGTTGGTGTTTGCAAACATTTCAGCATCAGACATGCGTGTCAGGTGGTCGGGTGGTGTTGCACGCACCACTGGTGGTGTTCCTGCTGAGTGGCGTGACAAAATCAAACATGTGAGCATTCAGAAGGCATTTCAAATCACTTCCTTGTGACGAACAAGCTCGTGTTGAGGAGTTAGCTCTGTTGCTTCTGGCAGATGACCAGTAACTGCCTTTTTGACACACAGTGCTTCACATAGCCAGAAACAGGCACAATATTCCAGCCACCACGTAATGATTATGCATCTTCCATTGCCTCTTTTTGTGTCTATTTCCCAGGTTCTGAATGTGGTGGTGGAAGAGATGCTGGAGGGCCATCCAATCAGCGAGAAGAAACTGAAGGAGCTCCTGGGGCACACTCCCTTGCAGGTGGTTGGAGGCTTCATTCTTGGTGTTGTTACGGCTGCTGTTTACCATTATAAGACAGGACAAATGTATGGGTGGGCGTGAGATAGGTAAGGGACTGAACAGCATTCCGGATAGTCTGGGGGATGATAGTCTGAGAGACATCCCCCATGCGCAGATATGAGTGTAGTTGTACCACGGTTAGTGCCTTCACGGCTTTCGTTCTGTGTGTGAACTAGTTTCTGATTTTCAGCTAGTGCTACTCGTGTGTTCAATGTAGTAACTAATTTGTGTCAATATAGAAATAGTTTTCAACTATGGAGAACATTTGTCGATGTACTTGCTGAATGTGTCGTCGAGCGAGTGGGCTTGAATCGCAACAGTCACGTCTCCTGTTTTCTGTATGATCCCGTGGCATTCAAGCTTGCACTACGGGATTGACGACATGTGGACGCAAACCAGTCAAGAGCACCACATCCGACGGTGAAAAAGGGACATTCCCAGCAAGCACCAGGCCAGACACATTCTCCCCGCGCCGCCTCAAGCTTGAATGCGATCTGGTTGGGCATAAGCGACTCGGAAATGGAAAATCGAGCAGGTTTCTCCGTAGGGGCAGAGGCGCGATTTTTCCAAGCTAGTCCTCTCCTCTCCCAACAAACCCAACAAAATGCATTTTCCCAAACCACGTCCATGTCGCACCAGCATCACTTAGGGATGGACTCTGAATGTGGCAGCTGTGACATGTGCGGTGGTACAGCGGGGCACGCTCCTGCACTCTCTCCGTACTATTGGCGGTTAGCTCACGTGAAATTTGCCTGTTCTGGCCTATGGAATGTTGCTTGCGACGGGATTTCCCTAAACGTAGTGCGTCGCAGCCAATAAATCACGCCGAATTTCACAGCCATCTGGCGTGGTGTACAGTATAATCGTCAGATCGGATCGCCTCGAGCGTCGAAATGCTATTATAAAGAGTGATTTCATGTCCTTATCAGTACCGAGTCGACTCAATAGCAGGAAACTTTGGATGGATTGGTGGTGATCTCATGTCACTTAGATGTACCTTCGAAATAGTAGCTTACTTAGTCCCTGTTTGTTTCACGCCGTTCCTGTATTTGACCCGTCTAGATAACCATATCTGATTGCCACCTCGTTCCTGTAAATGCAACCGGCTTCCATGACGCGTAACCGGCCGCGCTTCGTAGGAATGCTGACGGCCGCCGTCAGCGTTGTCGCTCTCGCATCTCTCTTTCCGCAAGTAACGTCGGAATCGGCTTTGAATACGAATCAGCAGCAACAGCCGCCGCAGCAGGCGCCGCGATGGGCGCCGCGTGATCCGCAGCAATGGACGGCGTGTAACTACTCCACGGGGTGGTGGATCCGCAAGCCGCCATCGGCGCCGTATCATTCCACGTGCCCGTTTCTCCAGGTGGGGAGCTAACCTTTGAGTCGACTCATAAGTCAACTACTCTACGGGGTGGTGGATCCGCAAGCCGCCATCGGCGCCATCGGCGCCGTATCGGTCGACGTGCCCCTTCCTCCAGGTGGGGAATTTTGGGACTCAGGAACTGCATCAACCGCCGCCTGTTTGATTTTTGAGTCGACTAAGCATAGACGCCTAATGAAAGAGAGGCGGCTTAACAAGTGACCCGTGAAGTGCATGAACCGCCGCCTGCTTACCCTTCCCTCTCCCCCCTCGCCGCCCATCTCCCTCCTTGCACCTCCCTCCCGCCACCTTCCTCCACCGATCTACCTCCCCACATCTCGCTCCCCCTATCTCCCTTCTCCTCTTCCCTTCCCCCTCTCCTCGCCTCAGGACGTGGGACCAGTGAATTGCATCAACCGTCCCCAACGGCCCTCGCTTTCCTGGCTGGTACGACCGATTTCTGGCTGCCACGTGGCTGGTACGACCAATCTCTGACTGCCACGTGAGGAGATATATTGCTGGCTTTCTGCACCCGGCCTTGTGAGAATGACTTGATGAGAATAAGACCTCCCCAGCCCGTTTATGTTCCACTTACGACTCTTCAACCCCTCCCCTCTCTCTTCTGCGATGATGCCCCCCCTCTCTTGCCCACCACCTTGGCCCATCTCTCCACTCTCTCAGGGTAACCACTCCCTCTCTCTCCCCTGTCTCAGAGTTACCACCCCCCCTTCCCCCCTGCTCCTCCCCTCAGGGTTATCACTGGCGGCCTGCCGCGTGCAAAGTGCCACGGTATGGTGTTTCTGTTGACTCAGTAGTCACCTCCGTTTCAACCTCACCCTTCTTCCCCCTCCCCTTCTCCCCCTGTCAACCCTACCCTCTTCCCCAGGGGTACCGCTGGCGGCCTGCCACGTGTCAAGTGCCAGCGTACGGTTTCAGGCCGTACCACTTCCTGGAGATGATGCGGAACAGGTGAGGGAGATGACACGAGAGACAAAGATGAATCTGACAGTTGAAACACCAGGGACTGGTTTTCAGCCAGCCTATCGCACTTCTTGTGTTATCCACAATAATCACTGTGAACATTTTTGCTTTTTATTCATCTGCTTCCACCAACCCTCACTCCCCACCTCTGCTGCCTTTCTTCCCCTCTTCTCCCACGTGGCTGCGTATGCGTCATTCTCCCTACCATTTGTGCCTGTATCACGTGGACGTGACTGTATCGTGCAAACGTGACTGTAACAAAGTGATAGCATCGGTGGGCAATTCTCTCCCCTATCAGAACCTTATGCCCTCGCTGCTTTGTCACATACACGGCGCCTCACCAGTCACTGAGATTCCCAATGATGCATATGCGTCACTCTCCCTCCCATTGTGACTGTAACGTGACTGTATCCAGAGTGATAGCATCGGTGGGCGATTCACTCTCCTATCAGAACCTTATGCCCTCGCTGCTGTGCCACATTCACGGCGCCTCACCTGTCACCGAGATTCCCAACGATGGATCGCTGGCCATACAGCACAAACGGAGCAGAGTGTATCGAGTACAGGCATACAATGTCACGCTTATAAACACGTGGAGCACGTTTCTTAACGAGTACTGGCAAGACGAGCAGGTGGGCAGCCCGTGTGTTTATCCATCTCTGTCTACGTCAATGTAAACATGTTGCTTACATAAACATGTCGCTTACATAAACATGTCGCTTACATAAGCACGTCACTTACCCCTCCCCACCCCATATTTCCGACCTCCCACTTGCAGACCCTCTCGCGCTACAGTGGCGGTAAGAACCGCACAGACGAAGATTCTGTGATCAATCTGGACGGCGTCGATCCGGCGCTTGCCGCCCGGGTGACTAAATACGACGTGCTTATACTGCAGACCGCGGCGCACTGGCAGGCCAAGCCCAATAAATGGCGGCGGTACTTTGTGAATGGGCAGGGGAGGGTGGTGTTCACTGAACGGCAGTATATTGCTGCCTTCGAGTAAGTGGTGTCGAGGATTGAGAAGCAGGCCAAGGCAGTGCAGGGCTGGGCAGGGTTCTCTTGTTGCAACACTGGTGGTACTTTGTGGATGGGCAGGGGAGGCTGGTGCTCACTGAACGACAGTACATTGCTGCTTTCGAGTAAGTGATCATTCACATGCCTCGTTCATACCAGCTTCTAGGTAAATCTCAGCAGTTACTCACTCCACGCGTGCTGCCCTCTGCGACCCCAATCCCCGCCCCCACCTCACCCACTGTCCCCTCCATTTCCACCCCGCACTTGTCCCCCCTTTGTTACCCTCAAAGACAAGGGACCTCCCGTGCCTGTCCCTCCCTGCTCCTCTCTCCTCCCTCGCCCCACGCCCAACAGGCGTGGCATGCGGGCGATAGCGAACCTGCTGAGCCAAAGCGACCTTGACACACCCCCTGCTGCACGCACGCCCGTGCCCTTCTTTCTGTCTGCTCCCGCCAAGATCAACCGCTGCAAAGGCCACTCGCAGCCCCTCACACACGCCCGGGTAGGATCAGTGTGGTGCCGGGAAAATTCAGTGCGGTGCAAAATGGTTAGGGTGGTTAGGTTCTCCTCTACCCGCCCGTGCCCTTCTTCCTCTCCGCCCCCGCCAGTATCAACCGCTGCAAAAGCCACTCGCAGCCCCTCACACATGCCTGGGTAGGTTCAGTGCGGTACTGCACTAATCAGGTGTAATGCAGTGTGGTGCAAAGCGGTAAGGGTGGTTGGGTTTGCCTCCACACGCTCTTACCCTTCTTCCTCTCCGCCCCCGCCAAAATCTACCGCTGCAAAAGCCACTCGCAGGCCCTCACATATGCCGGGGTAGGTTCAGTGCGGTGCCGCACTAATCCGGTGTAATGGAGTGCGGTGCAAAACGGTAAGATCAGCCCGCTGCAAACGCCACTCGCAGCCCCTCATGCACTCCCGGGTAGGCGCACTGCTGTGAAGTACAGTGCTATACAATGCGGTGCAATGCAGTTCAACGCTGTGCGCTGCGGTGCTGCGGAGTGCTGCGGAGAGCTGTGTAGTGCAGCGTAGAATAGTTGATAAGAAGCACCACATCTGCTTGACGTTTCATCCAAAGTGTTTTTTCCAAAGGTTCCCTTCTACACATCCTTTCCCCTTTTTTTTTCCACTCAGGTTCTTCAGGCTCGTTATAAGATTCCTCAGTACACTCGGTGGCTACCCGCACAGCAGCGCGCAGTAGCAGGCACGCGAATCCGCATTCTAGACGTCACCTCGTCAACTCTCTACCGCCCAGACTCTTTTGTGGGGTCAGGAGGGGTGAACAACGACTGTGTGCATTTCTGCCTGCCCGGTGTGCCAGACTCCTGGGTCGACATGCTTCATAACATGTTCTCTAGACAAGCTATCTTCCGGGTTCCAAAAGGAGCTATAGTAGTGTAGTATACAGAGGGACTGGCAGGGTAACATCGATTGTGTGCATTTCTGCCTGCCTGGTGTGCCTGACTCGTGGGTTGACATGCTCCATAACATGTTCTCTAGACAAGTTGTTTTCCTGGTTCCTAAGGGTGCTACAGTAATGTGGTCTTCAGAGGGACTGGCAGGGTAACAACGACTGTGTTCACTTCTGCCTGCCTGGTGTGCCAAACTCGTGGGTTGACATGCTTCATAACATGTTCTCTAGACAAGCTGTCTTCTGGCTCCCTAAGGGTGCTACAGTATAGTCAAATAGAGGAGTTACGGTATGTTCACCAGCATGGATGCATCACTTCAAAGAAATTCTTGATTTGCACAATCGATAAATAAGAGGGCAATCGCCTAATTATATGGTAATTCACCATTAGTGTGCGTATGATCTTGCGCTCCACCTGGCCGTTCATCCCGCGACCGCGACCATATAAAGATTCGTAACAGCACTGAGGCTACAAGCACTGCAGCAGCCGCTTCCGGCAAAGTGAGGCTCGGAAAGAGGTGGGAAGGAGGATCTTTACCAGTACGAGGTTTTTTTGAGGAGGGTGTGGTAACAGGTTTAGCAGTAAGGGGAGCGAGGGTTTTAGAGGAAGGACGGGAGACATGTACACTAGCGGGGGGATGGCGAGGGGAAGAAGATGGAGGAGGGGTAGAAGGAGGAGGGGTAGAAGGAGGAGGGGTAGAAGAAGGAGGGGTAGAAGGAGGAGGGGTAGAAGGAGGAGGGGTAGAAGAAGGAGGGGTAGAAGGAGGAGGGGTAGAAGAAGGAGGAGGGGTAGAAGGAGGAGGGGTAGAAGAAGGAGGAGGGGTAGAAGGAGGTGGGGTAGAAGAAGGAGGAGGGGTAGAAGAAGGAGGTGGGGTAGAAGCAGGGAGAGGGGTTGAAAGACTTGATAGAATGGCCTTGAAGGTCTTGAGGTTCTTGAGGGCAGCAGCAGCTGTTGCTGCTAGGAAGAGGAAAATCCAGGGCCATGAATAGGAAGGTTCCTTGCGGTTTCCATCACCACCGCTGCTGCCGCCGCCGCCGCCACCACTGCCACTGCCGCTGCGGTTACCGCCAGAACCGCCATAGCCAGAAACTTTAGGGTTCTCATCACCAGCACCACCGCCATCACCACTGCCAGCATTGCCAACTCGAGCAGCGGTGGAACGGAGAACAACAGACACCCATGCAGACTGACCGTTTCCACTCCAAGGGAACATTTTTCCTGATAACCTGCCTGTCTGTCTCATTGCCCCTCGTTCTGTGGCAGCAACGGGAGCAGCGGTAACCGCTGCGGCAGCTGGTAGCTGATTGCTCTGGTGGCAGAAATGGGAGCACGCCGCATCCCCGCTAAGAGCAGTGGGAACGCTCGGTGCAGGTCGTGCAGAATGTGTGCTCTTTATAGCGCGTATTGTCCTTCCAGGGAGCAGACATCCCGTGTGCCGCAGATCACGGGATTTTCCACGTGGCGATTGCTGATAGGCGTGCGGAATCCAGCCTGACGGCTCGGAGAGCCGGTTTGGGCATCGGGATTGCCGATTGGTCAGGGAGATTAACTCCGGAATGCTAATATCGCGACATGCTGCTGCTGTTACTACTGCATGCGCTCCCATCAGGAATATCGGACTATTTGCTTTGATGAAGATGCTTCAGGACATCGGAGATTAGGGAACCCAGTAGTCCTCTATTGGAGCCTTTGGAATAGTTCGGCACGACCTGACCGGCAGATATAGTTGCCGGACTGGGATCCACAACCAGCGCTGACGTGGCATCTTAGTCGCGGTGCTCGTGCCCGCCGCGCGGAGCGCCGCGCTAGCGTGGGCCTTGGGAGTACCGACGATGAGTGCTCGTAGCGCCATGACGGGTACTACGGACCAGCGACTAAGTAGGAGTCGCGGGCTTCCACGACGCGGAGGTGCACAAGAGGAGAGCTGAATTGCGAGAAGCGCGGCGTCTTTGGCGCGTTGGCATGTATAGGAGACGAAACGGTACGAAATGCCTTGGTTTTTGGCTGTGGGCCGATTTCATGTGTGTACTCGGTATTGTGTGGCTCTTAATGGACCAAAACCATTTTTGTTTGCTGTGCTGCGGTATACTTTCAGGAAACGAAACGGTACTGTTTTTTAGCCACCATCAGCCCTCATCACAATTTGCACAATTTTACGTCTTTGTATCTGATTTTTTCTTGCCAAATTCATCTTGTGATTGGATTTCCAGCTCCTGAATTGCGCGACTGTTGTGGGAAGATCAACATGTGCCTCTTCTGTCTTGCAGCACATTACCAGGACGTAGCATTCAAAAACGTTGCCGGTCTATTATTATCTCTCAACCGCCCAGGCTCTTTTGTGGGCTCTGGCAGGGTGAACAATGATTGTGTTCACTTCTGCCTGTCTGGCGTGCCTGATTTCTGGGTTGACATGCTTCATGGTAATATGTTCTCTAGAGAAGCTATTTTTCGGGTCCCTAAAGGTGCTCTGATAGTGTATTGATTAAAAGGGGTTGTGTTTACAGGCATGTATGCATCCAAGATTCGAAAACAATCAGTGATTTGCGCATAATAACTTAGAGGGTACGGTAACAGCCAGCTATACATTGCCGTTTCTGTGGGTATGATCTGCTGCTGCGCGTGGCTGGTGCTGCTGCGACCATTTAGAAAGTACAACCACGAGGGAGACAGCAAACACTGTTACTGACAAAGAGAGCCATGGAAAAAGGGAAGAAACAGGGTCACGATGAGAGTTGCCGGAGGAGGGTATAGGACCTGGTGCGCCGGTGTGGGGAAACAAGGGTTTACTGGGAGGAGGGACAGCATTTAGATGAGGAAGAGGAGAGCGAGGGGAAGGGGATGGATGGGGAGGATTAGGGGGAGGAGGGGAAGGATTAGGGGGAGGAGGGGGGGGATTAGGGGGAGGAGGGGGGGCATTAGGGGGAGGAGGGCGCGAAGCAGGGGGAGGAGGTGGGGTAGAAGCGGGGAGAGGGGATGAGGGTCTTAAGAGAATGGCGATGGCAGCAGCAGCTGTTGCTGCTACGAGGAGGAAGAGCCAAGGAGATGGGTTGGAAGGTTCCTTGCTGCTTCCATCGCCCTCCTCCTCCTCACTACCACCATCACCACCACCACCGCCACGGCGGTTACCACCATGACCACCACCACCGCCACCACCATCACCAGAGACATCAGGAGTCGCATCGCCAGCACCACCACCATCACCACGGGTGGAACGGGCTGCAACCAATACCCACGCTGGTACCCACGCATACTGAACCTTTGCACTCCCAATAACAAATGCTCCTACGTAACCGCCGGTCCGTCTCACCAGCAATGGATGTGACGGCATCCGGCCGCTTGCTCTGGTGGCAGAAACGGGAGTACGCCGCATCCCCGCTAAGAGCCTGACGTGCAGGCAGGTGCGAAAGTTGGTAGGCGTGCGACGGCCAGCCTGACGGCGCGAAGAGTCCTCTATAGCATCGGGATTGCCGATTGATTAGGGAGATCAACCCTGGTATGGCAATATTGCGGCATGTTGTCGCCGCTGTTACTGCTGCATGCGTTCCCATCAGCAAAAATAACGGACTAGTTTCTCGGGTTAACAGTTGGCGATTATGAGTTTAGGGCAAGCGCTCCAATGAATGATGGAGGTGCTTCAGAAACTTGGAGGTTAGGGAACCCAATGAGCATATCTTCTAGCCCTTGGAATAGTCCAGAACGATTCCGAGCGATAGTAATAATCGCCGGTCCGGGATCCACAACCTGCGCTGACGTGGCATCTTAGCCGCGATGCTGGTGGCCTGGTTCAGAGACACGAGAAGCGCCGCGCTTCCGTGAGCCTTGAGAGTACTGACGATGAGTGCACGTAGCGCCATGGCGGATAGTACGGTCTAAAAGAGTTACTACGCGTTGTGGGATTGGATCGGGGCGGAGGTACACGAGAGGAGAGCTGGATTGCGAGAAGCGCGGCGTCTTTGGCGGCAGGTGGCCTGTTTAGGAGACGAAACGGTACGAAATGGCTATGTTGTTGGCTGTGTGGCAATTTCATCGGTGTGTACTCGGTATTGTGTGGCTCGTGCTGGGTAATATCGATATTCTGATTCTTGTGCTGCAGCTATAGGAGACGAAACGGTACAGGTCTTCTCCTGATGTGCATATTTATACGCGTTTGTGCCTTGAGATTCTCAAATCCTTAACAAATAATCAAGTTTGCAAAGCTACACCTGAAAGTGTTTTCTTGGGATTGTCGTAGCCAGCTCCTGAAGTGAGTTCTCTCCGCCTGTAGTTTTCAGAAACCTTGCCGATGTGTTGTATTCTACAGAGATACGTGCACAGATTCACAGAATTGACTGCCAATACCATACGACGATATCGTTCCGTGAAACGCATGCTTTCACCAATAAAACGTAGAGATGGATAAGCCTCCCGCGTTCAGAGACAACTCCTTGCACCACCGTAGCAAGCGGCCTCGTCAGAAAGACTCTCACGAATCGAATTCCACGTCAGGAAGGCGGTATGTTGTAGCCGTGCACGTGGGAGCGGGTTACCACTCCAAGCGTTACGAGCAGCGGTATCTGCGCGCCATGCGCGACGCCCTCGCAGCCGCGGAGCTGGTGTTGCGCGGAGCTGGCGGAACATCGGCGGAAGGGCAGCGAGGAGAATGCGCGGGGGCGGGAGAAGCAGGCAGATTAGACGCGAAGAATCGCGCATCTGCGCCGGGTTCGGGTTCGGACCGCTGCTGTTCGTCCACGTGTACGGCTCTAGATGCTGTCGTGGCAGCCGTTAGATGTTTAGAGGTGCGCTCACGTGTTTCAGTGTTACACATATCTGTGTGACCTTCTTGTGTGTCTATCCATTAATTCTGTGCGACACTTCTCGTCCTTAGCCTACGTTCTTGACTTCGTCAACCTCTCTGCTTCACTTCTCCTCCGCATCTCCTTTTCCCTCCACTTATCTTCCGCCTCTCCTCTCTCCTTCTTCCTTTCACTGAAGAATCACTAATGTGTCTTTGCCCCCATTCAAACCCCTCCCCAACCCACAGAGCCACAGTATCACCAATGCTGCCCGGGGATCCAATCTGACCGAAAAAGGCGAGGTGGAGTGCGATGCAAGCATTTCGGGCAGCATGTTAGGCAGCCGAGCAAAGCTTTTCGGCTCGGTAGCAGCAGCACCAGGTTATTGTTCCCCCTCTTCCAACCTCCCACACGCATTTCTCCCTATCATTCTTAGTGGTCCCTTCGCAGCGGATTAACTAAGAGGGATTCTGGGACGTGCTTTGCCGTTAGTCATGAGACGATTTCTGAGGCGCCTAAAAGATCTGGGACGTGCTTTGCTGTCTATGTTTCGTAGCTTCTCAGTGCCACTTCTTTGGAAACGAAACTTTTCTAACTCATGCCCCTCTATGCGACTTTTTCTCGCCTTCAGGTTTAGCAAGCCCAGTGTCAGTGGCGGCAGCACTGGCAAGACAGAGACACAAGGGACCTCTTCCCTTCGGCCGCATCCCACCCATGTGTGTCTGTGAGTGTCAGTTTGCTGTAATGGACCGTGTGGGTGCAAAGAAGTGTGTTAGCGGCTGCGTTTATACAAATATTGACATTTCTTCCTGCTTTAAGAGTGTTGAAACGTGCTCTTTCCATTCACTCTCGCGTGAAGGCATGGAGGGCCTTTCAACTGCTTGCGCGCGTGCCCTCTGCCCCTAACAGTGTAATCAATTCATGCATCCCAGTGTCCCTGCATATCCGTTTGTCTGCATGTCTGCGTTGCTGACTGCGTGGCTGCATGCCAGGATGTTGGCGGGGGAAGGCGCGCTGCTGTGGGCTCAGAAGCATGCGCCAGATTCTGTTGCAAGGCGTCCACAGGTGTGTGTGTGGGGGGAAGGAGTGTGTGTGTGAGTGTGTGTGTGTGCGTGCGGGTGTGAGTGTGTGTGCATACGTGCATCTTATCAAGAATTACCCACCGTCTGGGATGGCATGACATGGCAGGATATGGTGACGGCACGGCAGCAGCAGAAGGCAAGTGGCGCAAGTACAGAAGACTTGTTGGGGCTCTGGAGCAATCAACTCCGTTGGAGTCACCTTTTGAGAATCCTCAGAAGTAACTGCTAACGGTCGAATCCTTTGTTTTCTCGTCATGGCAGGATCTGGTGACTCCAGCAGCAGAAGCCCAGTGGCGCAAGTACAGGAGACTCATGGGGGCTCTGGAGCAGCTTCAGGGGAGAAAGGAGGGGGCAGTAGAGGGGGAAGAGGATATGGAAGAAGAGAGAATGGAGGAGGGTGGCAAGAGCACATGCGGGGAAGATCAAGAGAGTGAACGTAGAGGTTATGGTGGATGGAGGGAAATGAAGATGGAGGGTGATGAGGAGGAGATTGAATGTACTGAGGCCAGGGGAGGAGAGGTGGGTCGAGCGGGAGGTAGAGAGGGAGAAGGGAATGCAAGGGTGAAGGGAGGGGGAGAGGAGAAGGGTCAGGGGGAGAAGGAGGAGGAGGTGCAGGGAGAGGGAGAGGAGGCGGAGGAGGAGCAGGAGGGCCCGTGGGACACAGTGGGAGCGGTGTGCTTTGAGGTGACAAGCGGAGCGGCAGCAGCAGCGTCCAGTGGGGGGATAGCTTTCAAGGTGAGCGCTGTTGCTGGGTGCGAGCTTGGCTTACTAGTCGCATCCACCCCATCCCTCCAACATATCCTTAACCATCTCCATTTCCCCTTATTTCTCACATCCTTCTCTTTACCTCTGCGCGTAACTGCGTCTCTCCTCCTCACCTTACACAGGCGCCTGGCAGGGTGGGGTGTGCAGCCATGCACGGGGCGGCCTGCTGGGCTGATGCATCCATCAGCACTGCGTCCAACCTACCCAAGTCACCAGCATCAGATCCAACGTGCTCTGAGGCTGCTCAAAAGGCCAGTGGCGAAAGCAATTTCCATAGAGCAGCGGCGGCGGAGGAAATTGAGTCAGGGCATGATCAGAAGGAGCAGCAGCAGCAGGAGCAGCAGATTCTTGCTGTGGCTGCCAGTGTGTCCGGGGCCGGCGAGCCAATCGTGGAGTGCCAGCTGGCACGGTGCGTGTGCGAGGCGGCCATGGAAGGTGGTGCGTCTGACCCTGCAGCGATGGGGATTGCCAGGTTCAATGCACACGTGGCAGCTGTGTCAGCAGCATCAGATGATCAGCAGCAGCAGCAGCAGCAGCGGGAAACAGAGAGGAAGAGGCAGTGGCCCGTTGCTTCCGATGTTGGCCTGCTGCTGCTCTCTGCTTATCCGCAGCATAAGGTACTGCACCCATTGGCCTATCAGTCTTACCCGCTGCCCATTGTGCCGTGCAGCATTCCCTTTTGCTCTTGCAGAAAGTTCATGCTGTGCGTTCTGTGTTTCTGTTGACATGTTTCAGCATGGTGAAGTGGCAGTGGAGTTGACAGCATCCTTCCAGGCTCGCTCGTTTGGATTCGGAGTGACCTCTTCTGCTGACACTCGGTTAGATGTAAGTGGTTTTTTCCTTCAAACCACGGTGCACATTCATATGGGTGGGCATCAAAGGTCCTTTGATGCCCCCGTTACGGGGTGTGCTTTCAACCTGGGGAGCCAGATTTCGCCCCTCCCCCCAAAATTACTGTTGCCCAATCCCCTGCATTTTTTGAACGTGTACCCTGGTTTTAAGAGTTGTACTGTGTGCGTGACCGTAGTTATTTTGCTCACATCAACACTGGTGACGTTGTGCAGGTCCAGATTATGCGAGCAGCTGACATTTCTAGTCCATCGAGGAATCGTACATTTATGTCACTCTTTCGGATATAAGAGATGGCACATTTTTTATGCTTCAATCAATTAGAAGAGAAATTTCAACAGAATGGAACTCTGTTGTCGTTTGTTTAGGTGGTTCCATGTGTCCACTCACTGTGACTCTTACACGAGGGAACAAATGATTCTTCGAAACGGGTATTATCGGAGCGAATCTTCGGTGAATCGTCTCCACCGATATTGGCAGGTTCAACACACGTCAGTGTCGCCAACGATGCAGTTACCGGCCAAAGTTCTTCGCGGGTCCGGCGAACACTTCTTTGATGGTCAGAACTTTCGCTCTCTGACATCACAGCTGAAGTTCTTACCTTCTGCTGACAAGCATGCGGCATTCCATGCCATACATCGTTGGCTGCAGCTAGGACAAAAAAAGTAGGTGTTTTTATTCACTTAGTACGCCTGCTATAGCATTACTGTTTGGAGATTTACTGTACATTATGTAGTGAATAGCTGAAACGTCAGCCATCATGCCTAAGTTAGAACACCTAGTTAATAGTTGGTATCCTAGTTATCTGGCGATTCCTCGCTCGTGATTGGTTCTCTGCACAGTCAAGCTGACATTGTTTCCACCATTCTTTGGCTCTCTTAGCTAGTGCCAATAGTTAGTAAGTTATTCTGTTGTGTAAGATAGATGGCGGAGGCCGCGGCTGCAGCAGTGGTGTCGCGACGACATCACGACGAGCCAGCAGGCGATTCCGGCGACGCTGGCGACGACAGCAGCGACGCGTTGTGTCGCAGGAGTCCTAGAAGGAGCATAAACCGCCATTCCCCAGGGAACTCGCGCTCTTCGCCTAACTCCGCTTCGTTACCCAAGTCCGGTTCGCTTCCTAAGTCACCGTCAGACGCGCTACTTGATCCCTCCTCATCCGCTTACTCCGCCGGTCGCATGTTTCCGAAATCATCCTCGTTATTAGACGACCCCGCTAAGTTTGAGGCGTATGAGCAGCTCAACCGACACCAGGCGAGTTCTTCGAGGTGAGGACGCTGATTCCAAGAATAACGTTTTTTCTGCATGGTATTACCTCGTTTTGCCTGAGCTTGTCACCCAACCACCTTCTCACCCTCGTTACCAGTAACCACCATCTGTCAGTAACCAGTAACCACCATCTGTCAGTGACCAGTAACCACCACTTGTCACTCGTTTAACCAGTTACCAGCGTGTGTGCTTTCCCTGTGCGTGCAGCTCTGGCAGCAGCAGCAGCCTTCCCAAGCAACACAGCTACACCCGCAATATCGCCTCCCCCAATCATACTCATGAGGGAACAGGGACCAATCTGGGCCACCAGGGACCACCAGGGTCCCTGGAACTATCGGCAATCCCTAGGGAGCCACGATTTCCGGGACCAGAATCATATGAGAGTCGCACATTGGCTAAATCTTTGGTCAACGGAGGGTTGGAGGGGCCCGGGGTGGAGCGGGATGGAGGGGTGGCTGCTGTCACGGATGTTCCAGAATTGTCAGCGTCAGGAATCGAACCCGGGTCTGCTGCACGTTCAGGGCTTGCATCTGAGCCTGGCGTAGCTTTAGCTGTAGCAGCAACAGTGACAGGAACCCAAAGCTCCTTACCCCCAGGTTCAGGACCCCCAAGTTCAGGCCCCCCAGGGTCAGGAGGAACCCTAGGTACAGGAACCCTGATCACAAATACACTAACCACAGAAACTCTAATCACAAAAGCCCTAAACGCAGGAACCCTAACTCTACAAAAGACGCCACAATCGTTCCCACGCTCCTCCCTCAGGCATCCGAGTGTTAAGGCTGCTCGCTCCTCCTCCTCCTCCTCTTCCTCTCGTGGGAAGCTGAGTGTGCGGTGGTCTTTGGATGAGGGAGAGGAGGGGCATGCGGGAGTGGGGAGGAGGAGGAGTAGTGTGGCTCGGGTGGAAGAAGGGGATGGGGAGGAGGGGATGGGTGAGGGGGAGGTGCTGATAGGCGGAGAGGTGGGTGGGGAGGGAGATGGGGAGCGGGGAGGGGAGGGGGACGGAGAGGGAGGGGGAGGCAGGAGACGGAATGGTAAGCTGTTTCGAATGTTGAGTGCAGATTCTTGCGTTGGAGGGGAAAATGGGGGTCGCAGTGGGGCGTATGGGGGAAGGGGTATGGATGAGGGGAGCAGGGATTGGGGGAGAGGGGGGAGAAGCATTGGGGGAAGGGGGGGATGGGGAGGGTCAATGGGGTGGTGGCGGGGTTGGGGGGGAGGTGCAGCAGAGGCAAGGGGTGTGAGTGATTGGGGGGGAGGAGGACCAGGAGGAAGGGGAGGAGGAAGGGGAGGAGGAAGAGGAGCAGGAGGAGAGGGAGGAGGAGTGGGAAGGAACATGGGAGGGATGGTGGCAGAGGGAGTGGCTCTATTGGATGATGAGGAGGTGGAGAGGATGGATGAGGAGGTGATTCAAGGTACGTGCTTGCGATGGGTTCTGTCTGTTGGAGTAACATGAGAGGGATAGTGGCAGAGGGAGTGGCTCTTTTGGATGACGAGGAGGTGGAGAGAATGGATGAGGAGGTCATTCAAGGTAGATGCCTCAGACGGGTTTCAAACATCTTCTTCCCACCCCCACCCCCCTCCGGCCGGCCCCCCTCCCTCTTTCGACGGTCGCCAAAGCCTCCTCCTTCTTCCGCTCCCCTCTTCCCCGCAATTCCTTCAAATTCTGTTCCCCCCTAGCCGCTCGCTCTTCCCGCCTTTCCCTCCTTGGATGCGCGCAGCCTTGTTTGAGCGAGTGGTGGAGACACAGACATAGGGCTATGTCACATAGCTGCACCACCACAAGAACCTCGTCGCCTTCTCGCTCTTCACCTGCGTATCTCTCCGTCCCTCCCGTCTCCATTCTCCCATCCTCTGTCACCCCCCAACCACCTCCCCCCACCCTTCCCCCTCTTTTGCTAACGCACAGCCCTGTTCGAGAGGGTGGTGGAGGCACAGACGCAGCTGCACAATTACAAGAACCTGGTTGCCTTCTCGCTCTTCACCTACCTCTTCCTCCTCCTCCCTCTTCTCCCCCCCCACTTTTCCGTTGCTTGCACGCAGCCTTGTTTGAGAGGGTGGTGGAGGCACAGACACAGCTGCACAACTACAAGAACCTGGTCGCTTTCTCACTCTTCACTGCCCTATCCGTCCCGTTCCACACACTGCCCCACTGGTTCAGTTGCAGCCCTATTCGAGCGGGTGGTGGAGGCACAGACACAGCTGCACAACTACAAGAAGCTGGTCGCTTTCTCACTCTTCACTGCCCTATCCGTCCCGTTCCACACACTGCCCCACTGATTCAGTTGCAGCCCTATTCGAGCGGGTGGTGGAGGCACAGACACAGCTGCACAACTACAAGAAGCTGGTCGCTTTCTCACTCTTCACTGCCCTATCCGTCCCGTTCCACACACTGCCCCACTGGTTCAGTTGCAGCCCTATTCGAGCGGGTGGTGGAGGCACAGACACAGCTGCACAACTACAAGAACCTCATTCGTAGCCTTCTCTCTCTTCACCTGCTTAGCTCTCCGTCCCTCCCATCTACACAACTACAAGAACCTCGTCGCCTTCACGCTCTTCACGTGCCTAGCTCTGTGTTCACTCCACCCTCTCTTCCCCCATCCGCTGCCCCGCACCTTCCTTGCTATCACACAGCGCTTTTCGAGCGGGTGGTGGAGGCACAGACGCAGCTGCACAACTACAAGAACCTCGTCGCTTTCACGCTCTTCACCGGGCTCTATCTCCTCATGCTCTGCCTTCAGGTGCCTTCAGGTGCCTTCAGGTGCCTTCAGGTGCCTTATATGATGCTCTGCTTTCAGGTGCCTTCAGGTGTCGTCAGGTGGTGCCTTCATTGCCTTCAGGTGGTGCTTTCAGGTGCCTTCAGATGCCTTCAGATGCCTTCAAGTGCCGTCAGGTGCCATTTCCCACCTGTGCCTGAGCTGAGTCATCCAATTGCGTTTCTCCTCGCAGCCTGCTTGCCTTTCAGAATGGCATCTCTGCGCTGCACTGCACCACCATCATGACTGTCATTCTCTCTCATGCCCTCCCTCTCTCATGCCCTCCCTCTCTCACGCCCTTATCACCTCACCAGGCCCAGTCCTTCCAGAGCTACCAGGTGGCCTCAGCTCACTCCATCCTGCTGCCCCCCGTATGCCCTTCTTCTTTCTCCCCTTTCCTCCCTCTCCCTTTTCCTCTTTCTCCCCTTTCCTCTTTCTCCCCTTTCCTCCCTCTCCCTTTTCCTCTTTCACCCCTTTCTTCCTTCTCCCCTTTCCTCTCTCTCCCATTTCCTCCCTCTCCCTTTTCCTCCCATCTCCCTATTCGTCCCCATTCTCCTCCTTGCTTTCCATTCTCCTCCCTCTCCCTAATTTCCGTAAAACTCAAGTTAAGCCTTTAGAATCCTTATGTATATTCGTCACCCAGTTCAAAACAAGAACTACTGTAGCGTCTTTGCCCCTGTTACATAACCTTATACATGTTGTGGTCTCTGAACCTGCTATGTGCTGTGCTGTGTTTTGTGAGGGGTGCGTGTGCGTTTCCGTGTGCCTCCGTGTGCATGTGTGCATGTGTGTGCATGTGCGTGCATGTGCGTGCATGTGTGTACGTGCATGTGTGTGCATGTGTGTGTGTGCATGTGCGTGCATGTGTGTGCATGTGTGTGTGTGCATGTGCGTGCATGTGTGTGCATGTGTGTGCATGTGTGTGCATGTGTGTGCATGTGTGTGCGTGCATCAGGACTACTCAGGGGATTCGAGCTACTCCTTTGCCAGCAGCAGCGACTTCTACACCTGGCTCAACAACAGCATCATTCAGGTGAGTGCATTCCACAATGTTAAAAGTTGAGGTGGGTGGGTGTTCATTCGTGCATGCGTGTGTGCATTTGTGCGTGCGTGTGTGCGTGCGTGTGTGCGTGCATGCAGCAGCAGCGACTTCTACACCTGGCTCAACAACAGCATTATTCAGGTCAGTTCATTCTACAGAGTTCATGGGTCGGTCCTACATGCAATTCCATTCACAGGTCTAGTTCTTCCGGCGTAACAACAGCATAATTTTCGGTGAGCGCATTTCTTTGAATGGTGGCGACAAGGCACTGAGGATACTTGCCCCCTCTCCTCCTCCCTCCCACCTCCCCGCAGGTCATATGGTCAGACCCCCAATGCGGTGACGGCACATGCACGCCCCCCACAGAGTTCCCCGCAGTGGGCCGATTTGGCTGCACCCAGGACTGCGGCAACGCACGTAACGTTACAACGGTGACGGTGGCGCTGCGGTGCCACTTTGCATCGAGGGAGGCCATGCTTAGCAGCTCATGGAACCTCTGCTCTACCGCCATCCGAGACGTCTGCTGGTGAGTGTGTCTCTCTGTACCAGGGTCAGTGTTTGGGATTGTGTGTGCGGGCGCGTGTGGGTGGGAAGGTGGTGACGGTGGCGCTGCGCTGCCACTTTGCATCGAAGGAGGCCATTCTGAGCAGCTCGTGGAACCTCTGCTCCACCGCCATTCGAGACGTGTGCTGGTGAGTGAAGGAGTGAGTGAGTGCGAGTGTGAGTAACTTTTATCTGCTACCCTCCCAAAGGCCTGCTAAGCCCCAAGTACCCTCCCCACACCCGCTGCCCACACCCTCTCCCCACAACCTCTCAGGTTCCAGGACCCCCAGCTATTCACCGAGAGGACGGGCTGGCACACGGTGACAGTGCGCCTGCCCCCCCTAGTCCTGGTGCAGCAGCTGCTCTCATTCTGTCATGCGAACTCTTCCCTCCCCTCTGCTCTCCCCCCCGTGTTTTTTCACACCAGGTTCCAGGACCCGCAGCTATTCACCGAGATGACGGGCTGGCACACGGTGACAGTGCGCCTGCCAGACAACGACTGGTTCGCCTCCCTCACTGCTCCCACCGGGGGCCTCGGTGTGTACGTGTACGAGTCTCTAGGGAAGAAGACAAGCACTCAAGAGGCAGATTCGCACCCATCCCTTCCCATCTCTCCCCTTCCCTCCCCCACACCAGGTTCCAGGACCCGCAGCTATTCACCGAGATGACAGGCTGGCACACGGTGACAGTGCACCTGCCAGACAACGACTGGTTCGTCTCGCTCACTGCTCCCAGCGGGGGCGTTGGTGTGTACGTGTACAAGTCCCTGGGGAGGAGCACAGGCGGTGGAGTGGCGGCAGGCACTGTGAGCACCCACGCAGAGGCAGACTCGCCCGCTGGTATCAACATCTCAGCTGCTGGCGGCTCGGTTCTCTCAGCACCGTCGCCGCCACCCCCTGTTTCCCCCGCCCCTGCCTCCGCCCCCTTCCGACCCCCCTCCTCCACCCCCACCCACCCCTCCGCCTCTTCTCCCTCCGCCTCCGCTCCCTCCCCCTCTGCTTCGCCCTCCCTCTCTTCGTCCACGAAGGAGTATCTGCGGCCGTCCAATGGCACGGGGGCGAATGTGCTGCTGGCGAGCGTTGACGGGTGTGTGGAGGACGGCGAGAGCGGTTTGCAGCGGTGCAGACAGGTATGGTGCGGGGGAGAGGTGTTAGAGGTTGTGCAATGGGCAATAGCAGGGTTTTTTCAGACAGGTACGATGTGGTGGAGAGGTGTTAGAGGGGTATCTGCGGCCATCCAATCGCACGGGGGCTAACGTGCTGCTGGCGAGCGTTGACGGGTGTGTGGAGAACGGCGAGAGCGGTTTGCAGCGGTGCAGACAGGTGCGGTGTGGTGGAAAGGTGTTAGAGGCAGTGCAGTGTGCGATAGCAGGGGTCGCAGGCAGGTATGATGCGGTGGAGAGGTGTTAGAGGGGTATCTGCGGCCATCCAATCGCACGGGGGCTAACGTGCTGCTGACGAGCGTTGACGGGTGTGTGGAGGACGGCGAGAGCGGTCTGCAGCAGTGCAGACAGGTACGATGTGGTGTAGAGGTGCTGAAGGCGTGCATGCTGCAGTGCAGTGCAGTGCAAACAGGTGCAGTGTGGTGTTATGTGTTGCCATTGTCAGCACTCAGCACTCTTCCCTCCCTTCTCCTCAATCCCCTCTCCTCTCTCACTTGCTCCTCCCTTGCCCCAGACCTGTGCCATATGGACTATTTGTCTCCCACAACTTTGCACCAGAAGCAGCAGCAGCAGCAGCAGCAGCTCAGCCAATACCAGCACCAGCAGTAGCAGCACAAGCACCAGTCCTGCCACGTCTCTGCCCATGCGTGTGGCATCAGCAGCACTAGGCAGCTGCTTCCAGGCGTGCAACGCCATGCTGCCAGGGACTGCCTTCGACCCCCCTGACAACATCACCTGCTCCCAGGTGAGACCCCTCTCTTCGACACATTCCAAACTGAAGTGCCTAAACTAAAAGAATTGCCATGCTGCCAGGGACCTCCTTCAACCCCCTGGTGACGTCACTTGTTCCCAGGTCAGGTCACTCTTGAACGCAGTTGCTTTCAGGCCTCTTCCCAGACCTCTCATGGGTCGGGAGAGCAACATCAAAAGGTAAGGGCTATTTATCAGTCTTGGATCTGGAAAGCACTGATGAGAAGGCTTAACGGGTTTTGTCCCGTGAGCCGAAACTAGTTTGCGATTAAGGATTCCTACGAGTTGAGAGCTTCTTGGCCTACTTAAAATTTCTGGGAAGCGTTTTTCCGTCTCGTTCCTTTGTTGCTTAAGCGTTTTCTTCTGGTTTGCTGCTACTCGTAACTCCACTATGAGCCTAGATCCTTGGGACATTGAACATCAAAAGGCAGAGGCTATTGATCAGTCTCGGCTGAAGAAGGAGGGTATTCCTTTCAAGCTCTTGACGTGGCATGGCATGGAAGGGAAACTCTTCCTGTGTGCTCCCGCTCTCCCCTTGTCGCTTTCTCCCTTCCCCTTCAAACAACGCTGTTCCTGCCAGGCATTCACTCTCTTCGAGGCGTCTCTCCAAACGCCGTCCTGCTCCGGCGCTCCCTCCTGCCCCTGACCTCCGTCCTTTCCCCTACCCTCCTCCCGTGTCCCCCTTTGTTTTTCCCCTCAAACGACATTGTTCCTGCCAGGCATTCACTCTGTTCGAGGCGTCTCTCCAAACGCCGTCCTGCTCCGGTGCTCCCTCCTGCCCCTGAAATCACCTCCTCGTTGCCCCTTCCCTCTCCCTGCCAATACCTCCCACTGCCATTTCCTCATATTCTGCTGCTGTCTCTGCAAAAATAGGCAAGGCACCCGCTGTCAATCCATGCTCTTTCTCCATCTCCTGTCAATCCTGCTGGCTGGTGGTCCTTGTTTGTTTGTAGCTCCTGTATCCCTCCCCACCCACCCCACGGCTTGTGTGCCGTCAGTGTCAGTAGATCTTCCTCTGATCCTACCTCGTGCGTTTTGCTGCCAATGGCATTGGCATGTGTGCAGATATGCTCTCGGAGTCCCCAGCAGCAGCACCCTCCCAGCCACCTAGAACAGCAGCGGCACCACCAGCAGAAGCAGCAGCAGCAGTGGAGACACCAGAAGCATCAAGTCCCCTCTCTGCCCGTTTACTACTTGAGTCTCCTGTTCATAGCAGCAGCGCCAGCAGCAGCAACAGCCACTTGCAGGCACCTCCTCGAATCGCTCTTTCTCACCCTGCCAGCACCCCAGCCACTCCCTGTGCGCACAGCCGTCTCAGCACCTCTGTTTCCGAAGAGCACCCCATGTCCTCCCCACACTCCTCTTGGCCTGCCGGGACTCTCTTGGATCCCTGGACTGGCATGGCGTCAGTGCAACTGGTAGGTCCCATGCTGCCTTTCAGTTGAGGTATGATGGAGGTTTGATTCGATCATATGTGCTCCTGACCTGAGCCCTCCCCACACTCCTCTTGGCCTGCCGGGTCTCTCTTGGATCCCTGGACTGGCATGGCGTCAGTGCAACTGGTATGTTGCGAGTCCATCCCATGCTGTCTCTCAGGAATGATACAGGTTTGTTTGATCCATTGTCTTGGGGTTGTCTTTTGGTTGTTGTTGGTGTTTCAGATGAATACGCATGAACCCATCCTACTTCTCCTTACTGCTTTCCACGTCTTTTCTAGTTCCGTTTCTGTCTAAGACTCGTCTCATGACTTGCCATCCCTGCATCTCTGCATCCCCACGTCTCCCGCCCAGCAGCACCACCAGCAGCTGAGGCAGAAGCTAAGGGAGGAAGGAGCCAGTGCTCCCAGCCTCCATGCTCCTTCCCACAAGATTGCCATCACGGCTGGTGCAGTTCGCTCCAGCCGCCAGCTCTTCCCCTCTCCACCAACTTCCTCATTCCTCCCAGGTGCCTCCCCCCTGCCCTGCTCTGTCGGCCTGTTGAAAACCGTTTGTCTCAAGTCCAAAGGCTTTTTTGACGTCTCGACCTCCCCTATTAAAAAAACTGGCAGTTTGTGTGTCAGAGGCGCCTCAAAAGCCCCATCTCCCCCCATCACCCCACATCCATCCCCATCCCCTTCCACCACCCCTTATTCGCCACCCATCTACCACCACCTACCACTCAGCCACCTCCTCTCAGCCGATCACAGAAGCCCAGCGGCTCGTGTGGGAGAGCCTTGGGACGTCGGACGGCGAGCGAATCAGGGCGTGCCAGGTGGCGGTGGCGCGGGCACTGTACACTGCCGTGAAGGAGAACTGCTTGGCTGGCCCGACAGATAACAGCAGCGGCAATAGTGGCACGGGCAGTACAAGTGGCAGTGGCAGCATTAGCAGCAGCAATAATGGCAGCAGTTATCCAAGCAGCAGCGGCGGTGGCAGCAGCAGCAGCAGCACCACCACCACCAGTAGCAGCATGGAGCAGTCCTCTCCAGCCAAGAGTCTCTCCCTGGCCTCACGCCATCGCCTTGTTGCCTTCCTCTGCGCGCTCTTTGCCGGCCCTGTGTCCTCCCACCCCCGCTGCAACTTCACGGAAGCTTCCTCCGGACGGCAGCTGAAGGAGCAGGCAGAGCTGGTGGATTACATTCGAGCGACACACCGCAGGTAAGAGGGTTGGGGAGGGGGTCGGATATGCTGTACCCTTAGAACGATGGCTGCTGGTTTGGTTGGAAGCAGCTGACGAACCAGGCAGAGATTTTGAATCCACTTTCGAGCGACACACCGCAGGTAAGAGGGTTGGGGAGGGGGTCGGATATGCTGTACCCTTAGAACGATGGCTGCTGGTTTGGTTGGAAGCAGCTGACGAACCAGGCAGAGATTTTGAATCCACTTTCGAGCGACACACCGCAGGTAAGAGGGTTGGGGAGGGGGTCGGATATGCTGTACCCTTAGAACGATGGCTGCTGGTTTGGTTGGAAGCAGCTGACGAACCAGGCAGAGATTTTGAATCCACTTTCGAGCGACACACCGCAGGTAAGAGGGTTGGGGAGGGGGTCGGATATGCTGTACCCTTAGAACGATGGCTGCTGGTTTGGTTGGAAGCAGCTGACGAACCAGGCAGAGATTTTGAATCCACTTTCGAGCGACACACCACAGGTAAGAGGGTTGAGGAGGGGGAGGGATATGCTGTACCCTTAGAATGATGGCTGCTGGTTTGGTTGGAAGCAGCTGAAGAACCAGGCAGAGATTTTGAATCCACTTTCGAGCGACATACCGCAGGTAAGAGGGTTGGGGAGGGGGAGGGATGTCCCGTACTCTCACCATATGTAATCCTTTGTAGGGGGTTTACCTTACCCACATTAGACGCCATCATCATCCACTAGAGTCCTTCTTTCCTAACCTATCCTTCCTCCCTTATCTCATTTTCATCTCTCCCCCCTCGCACGCCCATCCCTGGTTCTTCTCCTCCCTCATTTTCTTCTCTCTCTCCCCCCCACCCCCTCTCTTGCAGTCCCTCCCGCCGCTTCTCTGCTGCCCAGCAGGCCCTTTTCGTCCACATCTCTGCAGTCAGTCGTGCAGAAGATGCCGAGCGATGCCGTCCAGGCTGCCACCCACCTGCTGCACATCTTCAACGATGCTGTGGTCTCACCAGACGCCTCGCCTTGCCCCTCAGGTGCCTCTCTGTTTCTCTCAGGTGCTCCTGCTTTTGCTCTCAGTGCTCTCTGTTTCTCTCAGGTGCTCCCTCTGTTTCTTTCAAGTGTCAACTCTCTGTCTGTTTCTCCCTCAAGTCCCTCTGACTCGACTCAAGAGCTTCCTCCTCGTCTTATTCCCCACTCTCCCCCGTCCCACTCCCTCTCCCCACTCAGCGGACTACATGGTGCTGTGGGATTCAGCATCCTTCACCCGCCGCATCATATCCAACAAGGTGCATGCTTTGACCCGAGAGCTTTCTTTTCTCCCTCCCGCTTCTTCCCCCTTTTTCTCCCCCAGCGGACTACATGGTGTTGTGGGATTCAGCGTCCTTCACCCGCCGCGTCATATCGGACGGGCAGCGCGTCACGTGGGTGTGGAACGACGACGACTACCATGAGCTCTCAGGTGCAGTAAACGGCAAGGTAAAAAAAAACGACAGTTTTTTTTAAAATTTACCGTAGAAAACGGTACCGTAAAAAACGGCCGTAAAAAAACGGTTTAAAAAGGTTCCAGGTGATGATTTTCGTTTGAAGAAAAAATCGGCCATTTTATGGGACCAAATTGATGGCGAAAATCACCAGGATAAATTGGACGAACCCCTCTTGCATGTGTGCATTTGTGGGCATGATTGAAAATGTATCCGACCTTGTTTTTGCCTTTGTTGGTGACAAGAGTTCTCTAACAAAAAAACGGCCGTATTTTTGAAAAAAAATACCGTAAAAAACGGACCGTAATTTACGAAAACCGAATTTTTGAACCTTGGTAAACGGTTTGCTTCCAACTCATGAGTGGCTTGTGATGTGGTGGACTGGACTTTGCCTTATCGCCCATGCCATGCCCACGTGGGTGTGGTGTGGAACGATGACGGTTTCAACAAGCTCTCACGTGCGGCGAGATGAAGTTTTGGCTCGTCTGCACTCTGTTCTATAATCCATCTGCCTCTCTGCATCCGTCTGGCAGTGCTCTCCGCATTCTATCTCTCCTATACTCTGCTGCTGCAGGGTCGGTGGGCAGAAGCACTCCAATTCATCTGCTGCTCTGCAACTTCTTTGATTTTTTCTCTTTCATTCCGTCACTGCAGCATCGGCGGGATCGGAGCCGTTTCTCGGGTTTGGAGCGGGCCGGCTCGGCCTGTCACGGCTTTCCACGTGTGCATGGGATAACATCGGGCCCAGAGATGCCTCGGATGAGCCTGCGCCATGCGTGCTGCGTGAATGGTGATGTGGCATGCCATGCTGGCATCTTATGACATGTATGCGTGTGTGCTCGTCATTTCTGTATCTCAAACAAATCACTCACCCGACGCCCTTCTCCTGATGACATTTCTGTATCATTTCTGTATCTCGTCATTCATCCCAATGACACTGCACCGCGGCAGTTCTCTTACACTAAGGTGTTTGTTTGGCATTGCAATTTATTTAATGTCTCAGAGCGCTCGTGTACTTCGATTGCACTCCTGGCTTCACACCCTTCCCTGCACACTCTCCCGACGGCACGTCACCCCCGCAGTTCGCATACACCAAGGTGTTTCACACGACAATCTATTTTGAATCCCAACGCACTTCCAAAGTCTCGATTGCTCTCTTGGCCTCGCACCCTCATACCTGCTCCAGGTTCTCCCGACGACACATCACCGCCGCAGTTCGCATACACCAAGACGTTCTGGCACGACAACTTATCTTGAGTCCCAAAGCACTTCTAACTAAATTCTCAATTGCTCTCCTGGCCTCGCACCCTCGTCTGCAGGTTCCCCCGATGACACATCAGCGCCCCAGTTTGCATACACCAAGGTGTTTGGCACGGCGCGGGACATGGCTGTGAGGGACTCTCCTCAGTCGCTCGCATTCACTCTCATCCGCGCCAGGAATGAATCAGGTGCACAGCATGTCTGCATGTATGCATGCATGATGCATGTGCATGTGTGCATGGGTGTATGCATGGGTGTTTGGCACGGCCCGGGACATTGCTGCAAGGGACTCGCCTCAGTCACTTGCATTCACCCTCATCCGCGCCAGGAATGAGTCAGGTGCGTGCATGGGTGTGTGGGGCATGGGGACACTGGCCACCAGCAGCAGAGCAACGCCTGCAGCCTAGTTCTGTCTGTGCCTCCCTAACTCATGCTGCCATCTGAATCTGTCTGCTTCGCCCTCCCTTTCATGTTCCCCCTCCCTCCCCACCACCACCACCAGCCCTGCGACGTGGCCCTCTGTGACTTTGATGGGGGGGGGAACTCTTTCTTGATTCAGGCCTCTCGAAGGTCAACCCTCCAACGTGCTTCTTTGCACCTTCTGACTCCGTTTCCCCTCTCCCCTCTATTCCCCATTCCCCCTCTCCTGTTTCCCCTCCCTCTCACCAGCATCCCAACCGCACACCTCCCTGCCCCCCTACGCGCTCCTCCTCGCCTCCCTCTGTGCGCCTGCCTGCCGCCTCGCCATGCTTGCCAACGGCCGCTGCGACCAGCCCTGCAACGTGGCTCTCTGTGACTTTGACGGGGGGGACTGCGCTTGCGGCGGCGCTGGCAGCGGAGGGTTTGGGAGCGTGAGCAGTGGCAGTGCTTCTGATGGTGCTGCTGCTGGTGGTGTGAGTGGACTTAGCAGCAGTGGCAGCAGTGGTGGTGGTGCGAGTGGGGGTGCGAGCGGGGGGGGAGCAGCGGGCGTGGTGTGGTGCGCATGCCCATTGCTGCAGATCCGGGGCGATGATGGAGGTACGTGCGTGCGTGCGTGCGTGCTTGCACTTGTCTATTAGGCTCATAAACGAGTATAGTGTCCCTTCAATCCCCAGCGTCTTTTGAAGCAGCGGGAGCAGCGGGTGTGCAGTGGTGTGCAGTGGTGTGCAGTGGTGTGCAGTGGTGTGCAGTGGTGTGCAGTGGTGTGCGTGGCCGGTGCTGCAGAGTTGGGGCGATGATGGAGGTACCTGCGTGCGTGCGTGCGTGCGGTTGTTGCAGTTCTTGTATCTTAGGTTCCTCAAAAGATAAACAAGTTCAGATTCTCTTCAATCCCCAGCGTACTGTAAGGCAAAAGGAGCAGGCACGGGCATCAACGCGCACTTCACTTCAGTTCGATTCCTTCCTCCTCCTCCTCCTCTTTTCCCCTTTATCCTCCTGCCCTCTATCCCTCAGCATGCTGCGAGGCAGCAGGGGCGGGCACGGGCATCAAGGTGCCGTTCAGTCTGCGCAGGTTCGGCACCTCAGTGCACGCCCTCGACTCCACTCTCAGCAGCACGGCGACTACTCCACCATCAACACACACTTCATTCCCCTCTTCTTTTTCCCCCTTCCCCCGACCTGCTCCCTCCTCCTACCTCTCCCTTCCCCCCCACACCCATCCCTCAGCATGCTGCGAGGCAGCAGGGGCGGGCACGGGCATCAAGGTGCCATTCAGTCTGCGCAGGTTCGGCACCTCAGTGCATGCCCTCGACTCCACTCTCCGCAGCACCGATACTGCTCTGCCCCGCGTTGTATCTGAGTACAACAGGTGCGCGGGTGTGGGTGTGAGTGTGAGTGTGGGTGTGGCTGTGTGGTGCAGGTGACTTTTGAGAATAATCCAAAGCCACTCTCAGCCCCTCAGTGCACGCCCTCGACTCCATGCTCAGCAGCACCGATACTGCTCTGCCCCGTGTTGTGTCTGAGTACAACAGGTGCGCGGGTGTGGGTGTGGGTGTGAGTGTGGCTGTGTGGTGAAGGTCACTTCTGAGAATAATCTAAAGCCACTCTCAGCCCCTCAGTGCACGCCCTCGACTCCATACTCAGCAGCACCGATACTGCTCTGCCGCGCGTTGTGTCTGAGTACAACAGGTGCGCGGGTGCGGGTGTGGGTGTGAGTGTGGCTGTGGCTATGTGGTGTAGGTGACTTCTGAGAATACTCTAAAGCCGCTCTCAGCCCCTCAGTGCATTCCCTCGACTCCACTCTCCGCATCACCTATACTGCTCTGCCGCGCGTTGTATCTGAGTACAACAGGTCTGGTTGTGTTCCATGTTCTTAAACAGTATACACCATCTTTGCTGTAACGAGTTCTGATTTCTTAGGAGAGTCAAAAGTCCATTCACTCTCTCCCCTTTCTCCCCCCTCCCTGCACAGGGTGCTGATGGGTCTCATCATTGTGCAATATCGCTGGGACGCCGCAGACTGTGCCACAAGCAGGTGAGTGAGTGAGTGGGTGAGTGAGTGAGTGAGCTATGCGCATGGGCACGAGCAATTGAGCTGCGTGCATGGTCCAGCCGTATGCACATGGTCAAGAATAAACATTCCTGTTCCGTCCGAGTGGCCAGTCGCGGCATCACTACAGCCGATAATCCATCTGCTGCTCGCTCTCAACCTTCCTGCTTCCTCATGGCACTGCAGGTTCCATTTCCAGGACTCGTGTGTTTTGAAACGTCTCAAAACTCGCAGGTTCCTGCAATGCTCAATTCGAATAAAGCATCCCCCCTTTCTTCTCCCCCGCCTCCCCTCTCCCCCTTTCGCACTGCAGGTTCCATTTCCAGGACTTGTGTGTGAGGGGAGAGTCATCAAGAGCGTTCGGGGTGAACCCGGTGTTCCTGCCATCCTCCTCTCTCTACAACGGCACTGCAGCTGCCAACACCACACACCTCCCCCCGTCCCCCCACACCCCGTTGTGCAGGTTTCATTTCCAGGACTTGTGTGTGAGGGGAGAGTCATCAAGAGCGTTCGGGGTGAACCCCGTGTTCCTGCCATCCTCCTCTCTCTACAACGGCACTGCAGCTGCCAACACCACACACCTCCCCCCGTCCCCCCACACCCCGTTGTGCAGGTTTCATTTCCAGGACTTGTGTGTGAGGGGAGAGTCATCAAGAGCGTTCGGGGTGAACCCGGTGTTCCTGCCATCCTCCTCTCTCTACAACGGCACTGCAGCTGCCAACACCACACACCTCCCCCCCTCCCCCCACACCCCGTTGTGCAGGTTTCATTTCCAGGACTTGTGTGTGAGAGGCGAGTCATCAGATGCGTTCGGGGTGAACCCGGTCTTCCTGCCATCCTCCTCACTTTACAACGCCAACGCAGCTGCCAACACCACGGCCTACACCAACGAGTCCTTCGCCAATCCCTTTGAGCTCAACGCCAAGGGCCTGCCCTATGGTTTCCAGCAGCTGGTGAGACTCTCTGGTGTTACCCTTTGACTCTCTGGTGTTATCCTCCCTCGCTGTATAATGCCAATGCAGCTGCCAACACCACGGCCTACCTACACCATCGCTTCCTTTGCCAACCCCTTTGAGCTCAACGCCAAGGGGTTGCTATATGTTTTCCAGCAGCTGGTGAGACTTGCTAAGGCAGTAGCTCTCCCCTTTTGCATTCTTGCTCTACTTTGCTGATGCAATGCGGCTGCCAACACCACCGCCTACACCAACGCTTCCTTTGCCAATCCTTCTAAGCTCAATGCTAAGGGGTCGCCTTATGGTTTCCAGCAGCTGGTGAGAGTCTCTGGTGTGTTGGGCTTTGAGTCGACTCAAGAATCTCCTCCCTCTCTTTTCAACGCCAGCACGGTTGCCAACACACCGCCTACCTCTTTTGCCAAATCCACCCTTTTGCCCAATCCAGCCCGGTAGCAGCCGCTCCCCGGTGGTGTTTGACGTGAATCTGGACAACGGGGTGGCTTCTGAGGCAGCTAGAACAATATTGACACGCCTGAAAGCAACCTTCCTGTCCCCTGCTCTGACTGTCCCCCGCTCCCCCAGCCCGGCAGCAGCCGCTTCCCACTGGTGTTTGACGTGAATCTGGACAACGGGGCAGCCACGCGGCGGCTGCAGTACCTGGTGGACGGGTTCTTCGTTGACAACTACACGCGCAGCATCGATGTCGTGCTCATCACTCGCAACGGTGAGATGAGAGAAGAGAGGAAGGGAGGGAGGGAGGGAGGGAGGGAGGGAGGGAGGGAGGGAGGGAGGGAGGGAGGGAGGGAGGGAGGGAGGGAGGGAGGGAGGGAGGGAGGGAGGGAGGGAGGGAGGGAGGGAGGGAGGGAGGGAGGGAGGGAGGGAGGGAGGGAGGGAGGGAGGGAGGGAGGGAGGGAGGGAGGGAGGGAGGGAGGGAGGGAGGGAGGGAGGGAGGGAGGGAGGGAGGGAGGGAGGGAGGGAGGGAGGGAGGGAGAGGGAGGGAGGGAGGGAGGGAGGGAGGGAGGGAGGAGCGCTTCATGCTGTGTGCTCATGGCAAGGGGCGGCGACGCGGAGGCTGCAGTACCTGGTGGACGGGTTCTTCGTTGACAACTAAACGCGGAGCATTGATGTCGTGCTCATCACTCGCAACGGTGAGAGGAACTGAGGAAAGGTGAGAGGAAGAAAGGAAGGAAAGAAAGAGGTGCTTCATGCTGTGTGTTCATGCTGCAGTACCTACCTGGTGGACGGGTTCTTCGTTGACAGCTACACGTGCAGCATCGATGCCGTGCTCATCACCCGTAATGGTGAGAGCGAGGGAGGCAGTGCTTCACGCTGTGCGCTTCATGCTGTGTGCTTCACGCTGTGTGATCATCACATGCAGCAGCAGTGATGAAACCACGCATCCACTGACATTCAACCTCTCTCCTGCTCTCTCTCCCTCACCCTCTCTCCTGCTCGCCCCCGCCGCCAAGCCAACAAGCAACTGTTCACTACCACCCTCACCTTTGTTCCCTCGTTCCCACTTTCCCTCTTCCCTCCTGCTCCCCTCGTCCCTCTTACCCTTCCAGCCAATGAGCAGCTGTTCACGGCCACCAAAGCCACCCTCTCCCTCCAGCCGGGCGGCAGCATGGACGCTACCTTCCAAATCCAGCCGGTCAACGTTGAGTACTACGACCTGAATGAGACGAGCAACGTGATACGGCTCGTCCTGGAGCTGTTGTTCGTGGCCGGCGTGGTTTGGAATGTAGTGGAGGAGGTGAAGGAGATGATATGGATTTGGAAGGTGCAGCGAAGGTCCTTCTGGCATTACTGGCGGCAGGGGTGGAACTGGGTGGACTGGCTCTCCATATCTGTCCAGATTCTCTGCATCTGCATGTGGTTAGTGGGGAGGGGGGTGATGTTGTGGCGTCACTGGTGTGATGGAGTGAGTGCAGATTGAGTGTGGATGGCGTCTGCAGTGAGTGTGGAGTGAGTGTGGAGTGTGGGGTGAGTGTGTAGTGAGTGTGAGGGTTGGTGTGGCAGTGGAAAATGCAGCGAAGGTCCTTTTGGCATTACTGGCGGCAGGGGTGGAAGTTGGTGGACTGGCTCTCCATATCTGTCCAGATTCTCTGCATCTGCATGTGGTGAGAGAGGGGTGATGCCGTGGCGTCATTGGTGTGATGGAGTGAGTGTGGAGTGAGTGTGCAGTGAGTGTGGAGCAAGTGTGCAGTGAGTGTGAAGTGAGCGTGCAGTGACTGTGGATTGAGTGTGCGGTGAGCTTTACCATGCAGGCACACTACAACATCTACTACACTCTAGACGAGTACCCGCGCTACTGGGACCCAAAACCAACCCGCCCCCTTCCGGTGCCCTCCCTGCTCTCTCAAGCGGTCCTTGTATTGATGTGTCCTGCTCACTCTCCCTCACTCTCCCCAATCCACAGGATATCAATGGCAGTGTTATCCGGGCAGAGATTCAACATGCAAGCCCGCTCTACACCATGTACAACAATTTCAACCAGTTCCCACACTACTAGGCCCTCCCCAACCCACCGTCTTGCCCTCCCCGCCCTCTCTCTCCCCTCCCCTCCTTCATCCACAGGATATCAATGGCAGTGTTATCCGGGCAGAGCTTTAACATGCAAGCACGCTACAACATCTACTACACTCTCGACGAGTACCCGCGCTACTGGGCGCTCCCCAACCCGCCCTCGGGTTACCTGGCTGCAGTTTCTGCTGCTGACAAACTTGGGAGTATCATCAACACGAGCTCTGCCTATTTCGCTCTGCAAGGCATGAAGTGAGTGCGGCTTGCAATGAGCGGCTTGGAGTGAGTGGTGTCCTCCTGTTCTCCCCTTTGTTGAGAGGAGAAAAGATGCACTAGGAAGAATTATCAACACGAGCTCAGCCTATTTCGCCCTGCAAGGCATGAAGTGAGTGCGGTGAAATTAAGGTCTTGCAGTGTGATCCGTGCAACGAGTGCCATGCAGTGAGAGAATGCCATCCCAAGCTAATGGATCCAGCCGCACATGTACATCATCACTCTTTCCATCCGCCCCTCTCCCTATGTGGTTGTTCCCCTCGCCCTATCTCTCCCGTGCTTTCTACCAGTGTGTTCATCATGGTGCTGCGAGTGCTCAAGCTAATGGACTTCCAACCACACATGGGCATCATCACTCGCTCAATCCGAGTGGCTCTCCCCTCCATCCTGCACTTCTTCCTGCTCGCCCTCGCCATCTTCCTCGCCTATGCCACCTACGCTTACCTTGTGTTCGGGATGACCATGGTGCAGGTGTGTACTGCCGCATGCTGTGTCTCGTGAGCTCTCTCCCTTTCTTTCTCCACTTCTTCCTGCTCGCCCTTGCCATCTTCCTCGCCTATGCCACCTACGCTTACCTTGTGTTCGGGATGACCATGGCGCAGGTGTGTACTGCGGCATGTGTCTCGTGAGCTCTCTCCCTTTCTTTCTCCACTTCTTCCTCCTCGCCCTCGCCATCTTCCTCGCCTATGCCACCTACGCCTACCTTGTGTTTGGCATGACCATGGTGCAGGTGTGTATTGCGTGCATGCTGTGTCTGTTTGTGGGTTGCACTGCGTGTGTGTGCGGGCAGGCAGGCTGGTGAGCGCCCTCCCTTCCTTTCTCCACTTCTTCCTGCTCGCCTTCTCAGTCTTCCTCGCCTATGCCACCTACGCATACTTCGTGTTTAGGATAACCATGGCGCACGTGCGTACCGATGGCCTGCTTAACATCAGTGTGCACTTAGCAGATTGTATTTCTTCCACCAACTTTACGTCTAGCAAGCCGTGGGTGCTGGCGCCTCAAAATTCGTCTCTGTACTGGCAGTACGTGTCAGACGCACACCCTGCTTCTTCCCCTCCCCCACAAGTGCTGTTCAGCACACTATGAGGGGGTCATGCAGACTATGTCATGTTGGCGACTAATTCCTTGCAGTGACCGAGTTGCTCCAGCCGCTTGTGAAGGAAATCTGTCCCTCCCCATCTTACGTCTTTGACAGAAGCTCCTATCAGCAGTCTCCTAGTCGTTTCTCCTCGTCGTCGTTCGACATTCAACCACCTTCTCAGTTTGTTTATCCGAATGACATTTTGAATCAGGGTTTTCAACGCCGGTTGAAATCAAGAAGCAATTTACACCACCAAACTACTGCTAATTTGCCGAGCCAAGACATGTGGAAGGCGGAGCCAAGTGTTCGTGAAACCAACCCGTTGCGGACCATTTCTGTCGTTAACGTTACGAACAAGACCAACACATACAGCGATCGGGAGTACAACAAGGCAAGAGAACTCGAAAAGCGTATCGTTTCTGGCAGAGCTTTTCAATCGGCGCAGGTTTTCTGACACAGATGCAATCGTGCTTTTGTGACAGTGTCTGATGAGGAATTTCTCCAACAAAAGGGATGCGATGAACGAATGGGATGCCACATTGGACACCGTCACGTAAGCATGACTGCCTCTGAGTACCAAAATCCGCTCCGATCCAGAGCTCTCTCAGAATGGAAACGCTTTCCGAGTTCCTCTCCATGTTGTATTCCCGATCGCTGTATGTGCTGAACCGATTCGCAATGTTGACCACAATGCTGGTCCACAGCGGGTTGATTTCACGAACACTTGGCTCCGCCTTCCACATGTGTAGGCCCGGCAAAGGAGGAGTAGGTTGGCGGCGTAGATTGCTTCCTGATTTCAACTCGTGTTGAAAACCTTGATTCAAAAGGCATTTTGGATAAACAAGCTGAGAAGGTGGCCGAATGTCGAACGACGACGTGGAGAATCGACTAAGAGACTACTGAGAGGAGCCTTTGTCAAAGACATAAGGAGGAACAGTGTTCCTTCACAAGCGGCTGGAGCAACTCGGTCACTGCAAGGAAATAATCGTCAACATGCCATACGTGTGTGGCGATGAATCATGCCCTGCCTTCTCCTCCCCTCCCCCCCCTTCCCAGTTCAGCACTTTGTGGGGAACCATGCAGACGTGTTTCCTCGTCATTCTCAACAACAAGAGCGTGCAATACTTCTTCCAGCTCATGCAGAGCTGGCAGTGCGCGTGCAGATGTATGTATCACGCCCTGCCTTCCCCCTCCCTCCCTCCCCCCCCCAAATTGCAGTTCAGCACGCTATGGGGAGCCATGCAGACGTGCTTCTTGATTATCCTCAACGACAACAGCGTGCAGTATTACTTCCAGCACATGCAGAGCTGGCAGTACGTGGCTGCGATGATCTTCTGGTTCTCCTTCGTCATGATCTTCTTCTTTGTGCTCTTCAACTTCCTCATCGCCATCATCGTCGACGCGTTCATGGATGTCAAAGTAAGTGGAGTCAACGTGAGTCAACAGCATTCAACAGTGGTCAATGCGAGTCAACCATAGTGATCTTCTGGTTCTCCTTCGTCATCATCTTCTTCTTCGTGCTCTTCAACTTCCTCATCGCCATCATTGTGGATGCGTTCATGGATGTCAAGGTGAGTGAGTCAACACAAGTCAACGCCAGTCAACGTTAGTCAATGCCAGTCAATGCGAGTCAAGCAGTGATCTTCTGGTTCTCCTTTGTCATCATCTTCTTCTTCGTCCTCTTCAACTTCCTCATCGCCATCATCGTCGATGCTTTTATGGATGTCAACGCCAGTCAATGGTAGTCAAACGCTAATCAATGCAAGTCAGCCGTGGTCAACGCAAGTCAGCAGTAGTGATTTTCTGGTTTTTCTTTTGCACTCCCCATTTGCACGTTTCTGCAGTACTATTCTATTCACTCTCCCTCTCTCCCTCCCTCCTATGTCCCACTTGCTCCTTTCGTCAGGATGCAGCAGAGAGTGCATCGGCGATATACGAGGACATGACCTCATCGTGCTGCGCTTCTTCCCTCTTTCACGCTGACAGTAATCTATTCTATTCTCTCTCCCTCTCTCTCTCTCTCCCTCGCATGCCCCTCTTGCTCGTTTTGTCAGGATGCAGCAGAGAGTGCATCGGCAATATACGAGGACATGTACCTCATTGTGCTGCGCTTCTTCCGGCGCGTCGCAACGCCTTATAGCGAGTACAGCCGCCTGCTGCGGCACCTCATTCGCCTGGGAGCAGTGGATACAGCCCACACGGTCATGGAGGTGAGTGGGTGTGAGGGCAGCTAACAGGAAGGGAAAGAGGTGTCTGTCCATCCTGCTAGCTGATCAGGTCTCCCGCCTGCTGCGGTACCTCATTCGCCTGGGAGCAGTGGACACGGCCCACTTGGTCAAGGAGGTGAGTGTGACTGAGGGCAGCTGGCAGGGGGGAAAAGAGCCACACGCTTCCTTTCTTTCATGCCTGCTGCACCACCTGATTTTCCTGGGAGCAGTAGACACGGCCCACACGGTCATGAATGTGAGTGTGAATGAGGGCAGGACAGGGCAAAGGAAGGCTGCTGCTGCTACTGCCACTGCCCCCTGAACAAACCCTAATTGCATGCTCTGTGCCTTCACTTATTCCCTTCCTCTCTTCAGAAGAGCCTGTGGCAATCGGCACAGCAGAGCCTTGCGAGGAGCCTTCTCTACAGCACGGCAAGGGAGAGCGGCCACTTCCGCCACTTCTCCTGATCAAACCCCTAACTTCATGCTCTGAGCCTTTTCGTATTCGCTTCCTTGGTTCTGTGCCTTTGTTTTAACTTTCTTTCCTCTCCTCAGAAGAGCCTATGGCAATCAGCCCAGCAGAGCCTTGCTCGGAGCCTTCGCCACAGCCCGGCTAGGGAAGGCGGCAGCAGGCATGTGAGCAGTGGTGTGGACAACAGCAGGAGCGGGAACGGCAGTATGGGCAGTGGCTTGGGCAGCGGGGACGGCAGCAGGGAGGGCGTGAAGGGACCAGGCGGGGAGGATGGTTTGGATGATAGTGGGTTACGGAGAGGCGGGTTGGAAGATGGGAGACAAGGGGGAGGGGAAGTTGAGGAGGAGGGGAAGTTGGGGAGGGAAGGGAGAGATGCTAAAGCTCTGGTACGGGTGCAGCGGCAGGGGATGGTGAAAGCAAAGGGAATGGGTTCAGGCGTGAGTGAGAGAGGGGAGGAGGGGAAGTTGGGGATGGAAGGGGGAGATGCTAAAGCTCTGGTACGGGTGCAGCGGCAGGGGATGATAGATGGTAAAGCTGTGATGAGGGTGCACGGGCTGGCGATGGTTGACACAGAGGGGATCAATGCAGGTGTGAGTGAGAGAGAGGAGGAGGGGACGAAGCTGGGGACGGAAAGGAGAGACTCTAAAGCTTTGGTACGGGTGCAGCGGCAGGGGATGGTGGATGGTAAAGCTGTGATGAGGGTGCACGGGCAGGGGATGCTGGGGTTGGGAGGGATGGTGGGCGCTACTTGTGACGCGCCTCAAAGGCTGCAAGGGGCAGGGGCTGAAGCTTTCAGAATGGATACAATCTCTGAGGCGCCTCAAAGGTTGCAAGGGGCGGGGGCTAAAGGTCCGATGAGAGTGCAAGACGAGGGGATGGCAGAAGCAGAGAGAATACATTTAGGTGGGAGTGAGAGAGACGAGGGGTGTGAGGGTCTTAAGAGAGGCACGGATGTGGTGGGAAATGGTGGGAGTAGGATCTCTGGCGCATCTGCTGCTGAAGGTACGGAGAGCAGCAAGGGAAGCTGCGGCAACAGCACCAGGGAAGGAGGCAGCAGCAGCATTAGCAGCGGCGGCAGCGGCGGCAGCAATGTCAGCGCGTTGGGGACAAGCAGCGGTTGTTGCAGCAGAGCGGGGAGCACGGGGGAGCGAAGCAGGGATGAGGTGCCGCACTCCAGAGCGGGGAGTGGGATGGTGCGGACGATGCGGAGGCGGATAAGCTTCTGGCGGGAGGATTCGCTGGAGGAGCGACAGCGGGTGGTGGCGGTGGGGGGCAGGCACCTCAACGCGCTCTCCCTCTCCGCCATCCTGCAACGTGCTCTCGCCCGAAAGGTGTGTTGATGGGTGGGTTGGTGTGGGCGGCAGTGCAAAGGGTGAGCAGGCGGATGAGCTTCTGGCGAGAGGATTCACTGGGGGAGCGGCACAGGGTGGTGACGGGGGGGGGAGAGGCAGTCGTGAAGGTGCTTCTCTCCGAAGCAGGAGAGAACCTGTCAGGCTCTGATCTCATGGCACCGGCAAGCTCACACCTGTCCTCACCTCTCTCAACCCCACACAACCCCACCCCACCCAACCCAACAGAGCGCTGTCCCTCCCCGTACACCCACCATCTGACTCTATCGACCTGCCCGCTCTTGTAAAGGTGCCTCTTTTCGATGCGAGAAAGAGCATCGTACACTCACACCTGTCCTCACCTCTCTCAACCCCAACCCACCCCACCCAACAGCTGCGGTCTGTCCCTCCCCGCTACACCCACCACCTGGAATCCATCGACCTGCCTGCACTCGTCAAAGTCCTTCTCTCCGAGACAGGAGAGAACCTGTCCCGCTCAGACCTCATGGCACGGGCAAGCTCAGCCGTGGCCATGTCTCGCCAGAAGCGAGACATGCTAGCACTGCAAGAGCGCATGGGAGCCCTTCAAACCGACCTTGCCCAAAGGTTTGATCTGTTGGAACGAGGGATAATGGATCGGTTGCCGAAGCAAGGGAACAGCCAGGTGGGTCGGGAGGTTCGGACAGAGCAGGTGCGGCGAGAGGTGGAGGAGGTTCGGCGGGAGGCCTGGGAGCAGGCTCGGCAGGAGGTTGAGGAGGCGCGGCGGGAGGCGCGGGAGGCTCGGGAGGAGGCTCGGAGAGAGCGGGAAGAGGTTGGGGAGATGCTGAGGGAGTTGAGGAGGGAGTTGCAACTGCTAAGGGTGGTGAGGGGGGAGAGGAGAGATGGGGGACGAGGGGAGGAGAGGGAGAAGGAGGAGGCTGAGGGAGAGTAAGGGGGGCAAACGCAAGCAACAAGCAGTGCAAAGGCTTGAAGCGTGTTCTGTTATTTATTAAGGTCTTGTATGAGTTTTGTATGCTACGGAGTAAGTTCTATTTCAGCTTCAGTTCATTTTGGGATATTACCGTATCCAGAAAGAGAGAGGCCCTGGGGTTGGGCTTGCTGGTTGTCAAGGTAGGAAAGTCTGACGGGTGCCATACCACAAACGGGAGGACCAGGGCCCATCCCATGCGCCGAGGCACGGCAAATCATGGCCTTTGTTGGGGGAGCATGGCTGAATGTGGAGACTGGTAAACAAGCAGGAGCAGCTGGGGAGCTGCACTGAGATGCTGCAAGATGCTGCAAGATGAGTGTCTAGGTAACTCACAATTGACTTCTCAATGTGGTACACAAAGCAAGATGCTTAATCAAGAATCTATCTATGAGGCAACAAAACGAAGCAAAACGCTTAATGTGGAATCCAGGTTCTGAGGCAAAACGAAGCAAGGCGCTGAAAGCAAGAAGAGAGGGACCTTGAGGCCCCCACAAAGCAGATTGTTGCAAGTCTCTATCGGTCAAACCAAGTAAACCGGGTCAACCGAGTCAACCGAGTCAACCGGGTCAACCGAGTCAACCGAGTCAACGGAATCACTCCTGGGAGGCGAAAGCATCCATCAGGTTTCGCCCTCAGTGATACACCACCAGATGTCTAAAAATTTGCTGCAAGGTAGGTCGTGGTCAGTCAAACCAGGTCAACCGAGTCAACCAAGTCAACTGAAGAGTTACTGGTGGGAGGGGTAAATGCATCCACCAGGCTCTCCCCCCGAGCCAACTCAAAGCACAGTCAAATTAAGTCACCCGAATCAACTGAATCACTCCTGGGAGGCAAAAGCATCCACCAGGTTCTCCCCCAGTGCCCTCACCACCCTCTCCACACTCCCCAACTCCCGCACACCCCTCCCCACCGCACTCCTCATCACCGCATTCAACTCCCCGCCATCCCTCCCCACCGCATACCGCACCAGAGCAGCCTGCAGGGTATTCTGTGGGGGTAGGGCCCCCAGGGGAATGCCAAAGACACGCACTCGCTCTATGCAGAAGCGGGGGGGAGGGGGAGGTGCGTCCTGGGGGAGGATGTATGCGGGGCGATGGGGGCTCGTAGAGGCGGTTTGGGCGAGAAGGTAGGCCGGGAGGGAGGGGGAGGAGAGAGATGGGGAAGAGGGGCGAGAGGGGGAGGAGGAGGAAGGGGAGCGGAGAGGGGAGGTTGAACGGGAGGGGATGGGGGAGTGGGAGACGAGGGAGAGGGAGGAGGTAGAATATAGGCTGCTGATGCTGTCGGTGCTGCTGCTGCTACTGCAGGAGAGGGTTCTGTGTATGCGTCTTGCCAGTCGCCCACGAGCCTGCCTCATGAGGGCTCTCCACTCGCACTCCACCCCCCCCCACATGCACCCCTCCCCACCACCATCACCATCACCATCACCATCACCATCATCATCGCCATCATTGGTGCTCTCGCTGTCGCTCCCACCACTGTCCACCCCCCAGCCACTCTCACCCCCTCCCTCCTCCTCTTCTTTCCCTGTTCTCCTCTTTCTCTCCCATCCCTCCCTCTTCTCACTAGCTCCACTGATGCAGCCACCACTGCAGGTACCTTCACATGTACCTTCCCCCTCCCCACTCTTCCCCCTCCCCTTACTCCCCCTTCCAGCACCCCCTTCCCCCCAGCCCCCTTCACAGCCCTCCTCTCCACCTTCGCCCCCGCCTCTCCCTCCGCCTTCCCCTCCACCTTCCCCCCAGGGGGAGCCTGAGAGCAGCAGGCGCACATGGTTCCCCAGGGCGAGCGCGGAGGGGGGGAGGCGGAGCAGGTGGGAGATGGGCGCGGGGGACAGGGGGAAGGACGCAGAGGAGAAGGGGAAGGCGGAAGGGGAGAACCCCACTTGGACCTGAGAAAACGGGGGAGACGGGGAGAATTTGGGGGAGGAAGGGGGGAGGATGGGGGGACGGGAAGTGGGAGAGGGGAAGATGGTGGGTGGGAGGAGAGCGGAAGAGAATGGGCGCAATTGAAAGCAGGTACCGGGGAGCACCAGGTGCAAGGAGGTGTATTTTGAGGCGCCTCAAAATACAACGCAATTGAAAGCAGGCACAGGGGAGCACAAGGTGCAAGGGCGGTATGGCGAAGATACCTCGTGCAGAGGTATTCGAAGGGAGAGGGGGGTGTTGGGTGGGGGGGGAGGGGGCTGGGGGGTGGTTTGAGAGCAACAGTGAGTGGGGTGTGTGCGAGCAACGGTCACCTGGAGGAAGTTGGGGCAGACGGCGTTCCAGATATCCTGCCCGGAAACGATCTCCACCCCCGTGACGAGGCACAGGGGCAGGTCCAGGCGGAACGTGAGCGACTCCCGCGCCTCCTGCAGTCGGGAGAAGGGCTGCGCATGGGGGAAAGAAGGGGGAAGGGGGGAGCGGGGGAGGGGGAAAGACTTTTGAGAGGTCTCATAAGGTCGTGACGAGGCACAGGGGCAGGTCCAGGCGGAATGTGAGCGCCTCCCGCCTCCCGCAGCCGTGGGAATGGCTGCGCATGCGGGGGAGGGGGGGCGGGGGGACGGAATTGGGAGGGGAACGGGGAGTGGGATGCGGAAAAAGAAGGGAGGGAAACGGGGGAAATTGCGGGGAAGGCGAAGGAATGGGAGTTGGAGGAGGGAGGAGAGAAGGAAGAAATCAGGGATGTGGGAGAAGGAAGAGCATTATAAAGGCTGCAGGGAGCGATTGCCACCTCAAGCATGTCTAGTCTGCACTCACCTAGACAAACCAGACTCTACCACACCTGACTAAACCGCACCCCATTGCAATCGGCTAAACCGCATCCCACCGCACCTGGCTGAACCAGAAGAAGTCGTCTCGGAGAGTCCACTCGGCGCCCCACCCCTCCTCCTCGCTCGAACTCCCCACCGCCTGCAGAGGAAGCTGCGGAGGAACCTTCCACTCGCGATCCAGCTCCACCAGCCCGCGGTAGACTTCTTTCCAGGAACCTTCTGGGACGATCAGGGGAAGGTGGCTGTGCATGTGCTGCTCTTGCCCCCCTCCGTGCCTCATGCCGATTCGTGGCAACACCAAATCCTTTCCATGACAACAACCACTCCTGCTAGTAGTTTTATTCGTATTACGGGCGCAGGAACATATGATGCTTTTCTTGGTATCCGTGCGGAGTTGGTGCCTGCAATGGCGCCGTACGCGATTGTAGCCGATCTGCGGAGAGCCCGCAACCAGGTGGTGCAGCGCGGGGGAGGACCGACCGGGGGAGGCAGATCCGGCCGAGGGCGCAATTGGCGGAGCTAGTAACACCGGGGAGAACGGCAGCAGCGGCGCGGCGCTGCTAGCAAAGCAAACACCAGCATCTGCGTAAACCCGCTGCGCTTCACTCTCGTTCGCCCCACGCTGTTCCGCAGCGTGCGGCGGCGGTTGCGGTGTACCAGGGGAGGCCAATTGCGCCGCTGATCCCGCCTTTGCGGAATGTGACTTTAGCGGGAGTGCAGACTTCGCGGCGGATGCGGGGAGCGATAGCACCTGCGCCACCTTTTCGGACCAGAGAGTGTCGGAAGCTGGGTGCGGAAAGGCGGGTGCGGAAACATGTGGGGGAACAGATATGCGCAAAGCAACGCGCGCGGACAGGCGCGCGGAACGAGCGCGGGCGTCCAGCGAGGGGTACCGGGTATCGGGAAGGGGGTGGAAATGGGGCCAACGGAAATGCAAGCACGGAGAAGTGTGGAGTGGGCGTGATCGACAGAGTGTGCACTCAAAGAAAGACGCGGAATTGACAGGGTGCTTTTGAGAAATCTGAAAACACCCAGCAGATCAAACAGAGACGATCGTAAAGCGTGCGTCTCGTCGCTACATACCTGCTAAACTGCGCCACCGCCGAGATACCGCCGCGGCTCGGCAAAGACAGCGAGGCGGGAGGCAGCGAAGCACCTCGACTGCCACGTCATCGTAGTCCCAGAGCTCCGCGAGGGAAGGCGGGGCATCCGGAAACGCGTGTAATTTAGCCATTTCGGAAGGGAGTTGCAGTTATCGGGAGGGACGGCGGAAGATGGGGAATGGCATGAGAGTCGTGTTTGGGTATGGTTGTGGAGATTACTCGCGCGTACATGGAACGTTTTCGTGTGACGCTGGCTAGACAATTTGCTGAGAACGGACGAGAACGTTGATTATGGTATATAGAGCCTGAAACGTTGACGGAAGGCTACGGTAGGATATGTGTATGTGCGGACGGGACAGGACGGGATGGGATTGTCGTTGAGAGATGGCGCGAAAGAGCGTGACTGCTCAAGTCAAGTCGTAGCAGACCAAATGGTGGAAATTTCGAGATTTGCGCCTGTCCTGGGGTGGGTGGGGGATTGGGGCTCTCAATCGAAAATGATGAGCTGTAGGAAGGTGGTGCCGAAAACAGGTGGGTTGGAGGTGCGCTTGTCAAATGTCACGACGGGCGCATCTAGACTAGTTTTGCCCCCAGTTTACCCACTACTATCCCGCCCCACTTCTTACCTCAATCTCTTCCAACCACCCCTTACCCTTCTCCGCCCTTCGCATTCAGGTCCAGCCTGAATTGAGTCAAGGACTCCCCGCAAGTCCGCATGTTTTCGCCCCCTCACCATCTGTCTAGCCCTCGAAGGTGATTGGAGGAGGCTGGCGCCTGTGCGGTTCGAAATGGAGGGCGGCGGCACCCGTGCGATTCGAAAAGGGGGCTGCTGCAACAATGTGCGCCTCGAAAAGGGCGGCGTAACGAATTGGGGGGCGCTGGACACACAGATCTGACCGTCCAGCTGTCGAACATTTACAGTTTTCTTCCTCATCACTTCGATCAAGACACGGACCCTGGGTGTACTAGATAGGTGACGTGGTGCTGACACAGCATTGCGTAAGTAATACACCGCTTTGAAGTATGGTGCTATCTCATCAGTTGCATTTTCAAGAAGAACCCCATTATTGCATCTTTTATTACCCCATAGAACTGTTCCCAAAGGTCATCTCATAACAGATTTTTTTTTATATAATACATTTTACAGAATTAAAGTATACTCATAATCTGGTTAACAAATGTTGAGGACATAAGATGGACCTGGGACATGCGTATATATGAAATATTCGTAACAAAGGAAAAACTCTTCATTAATATACGTCCCAACTTCTGCAGCTTGTACAGCTGCTGTGAGAAGCATTGTTTTGTTTTCTGATACCCATTACCTTTCTGTAACCAACAACAAGTGATGAAGCTTACACTGTCATAATATACTAACGGATAGGGTGCACACCGACATAATTTGAAGTCTGCTCTGAAGATCCACCTGTACAGCATCAGTCGGGCGCAGGTGTTTTCAGTTTCCCATGCCCAGCGCATCGCACAACATGCGACAACCACGTCATCATGGATCTTACCCATCTGCGACCTGCAGGGCGAGCAGCTGCCCAACGAGGCTTCACGCAAGCGTCGTTGAAAGTCGCAGGAAAAATCCAAGTTTCGTCGTTGATGTAACCTCCCTCCCTCGCATGCACAGTCATCCAGTAGAACAGCCAGCCTACAAACAATGGTTCATGTGTCGCATGGTGGAAAAACCGCCTGGCTGGGTAATAAGCGTATCCACCACCCCCCTCGACAAAACCGCTGCTCTCCACCTAGCTAGCAATCCTAGCCTAGCCTACACTAGGAGGACAACTCTTTTCCTGAAGCATGGCGGCGTAGGTAGTGAGCTGAAACAGACAGCCTCTTGTGCCTCTTCGCAATCGTTTTAGACTTAGGAACTCGTATATTACAGGCCTTTTTTGCTCTCTCAGGGGTACAACCCCAGATAGGACCACTTGCACGAATGAATAAAGTCACCATGAGAACCCGCAGTGCCGTTTTCTCGTGCGTTTTCGTCGCGCTTCTCCTCTCTGCACACTATGTCGAAGCCTCTCACAGTCGCAAGCTCCTAGCCTCCAGCGAGAACACAGACTACACAGACATGTTTGACTACCTTGACTCGCAGAAAGGGCAGGGCGGCAGTTCGACGAACGCCGGCGAGCCAAGCGACCTCCCAAACGCCGCTGCGCAGCAGGCGCTGCTCGCGATGAAGGCGGCTTGGGGAGGCGACTTCTTCGGCGCGGATACATGGGTCAGCAGCAGCAGCAGCAGCGGCGCCCCTGCTCCATCGCCCGAGGCTAGTCCTCCATCCGAGGCTAGTCCATCCGAGGCTAGTCCATCCGAGGCGAGTCCGTCCAAGGCTAGTCCATCCGAGCCTAGTCCATCCGAACCTAGTTCATCACAGCCAGCGGCCAAGAATGAAAAAAGCATGGGTGTAGGCGAGCTTGGTATGGGGTTTGGCAACATGGGCATGGGTAGCGGAGGGGTGGGACCTGGTGACTTATGGCGGGGAGTTGGTATTGACAGTAACGGGGATGTGGTGTCGCTGGAGCTGCCAGAAAGCGGTGTGAGCGGGCCGCTTCCGTTGGAGCTGTCGCAGCTGACGTTGCTCACCACTCTTGATCTCGGAGGGAATAACTTAAGCGGATCGGTACCAGCTGGAGTGTTCGCCAGCCTTCCACTACTTACCGAGATTCTTCTTAACGGAAACAGCTTGGAGGGGAACTTTCCCTGGAACGAGATTTTAACGCAGGCCAATTCCCCATTGATTCTTTTGCGGTTGGACGACAACAGTTTTGCGGGGGAAATTCCCGACAACAGTTTCGAGAACGCCACGCAGCTGCACTCCCTTACGCTTTGTGGGAACAAGTTCACCGGCCCAATCCCGTCGAGCCTGGGCAGCGCTTCAGAAATTTCTATCATCGATCTCTCCAGAAATTGGTTCACGGGATCCGTTCCTCCGACTCTGGCAGATAAACTCGCGCTCGAGGTTCTCACGCTTAGCCACAACCGGCTTTCGGGGGAGATTCCGGAATTTATTGGCAAGCTGCCCGCTATTGTAAACCTCGACTTGAGCCACAACTGGTTCATCGGTCACGTGCCAGCGTCGTTCTCTTCGTTCGGGCAGTCGCTGAGGGGTTTGCAGCTGTCATTTAACGCGTTGACAGGGCCTTTGCCGCGGTTCACCGGGCTCGGAAAGGAGTGCGAAAACCCCGAAGTGGACAGCGTTTCGTGTTACCGCTTTGAAGTTTTTATCGATCTGAGCGCGAACTACTTCGAAAGGAGAGCGGACATGGCCATGCAGATGCCCGGTTCCGAAAGGTTTCCAAAACCCTCTTGGGTCTGCCCGTCCAAGGACTACACGGAACAGATTTCAGTTTCGGGTAACTGCTTGATTTCTTCGCCAGGGTGCAAAGCGGTGGACCAACGGAAGGAGGAAACATGCGCGAACTTCTGCGGGACAGGCAGCAAAGAGGGGCAGTGTGGAGGCGCAGGTGTTTGCATCTACGACCCGGCTACCGTCGGACCGCATGCAGTGATCACATGTTTGTGCAACCCTGGTTACCAGGTGGATCCAAAAGATCCGCAAAATTGTATCAAAGCCTAGTCAGTCTGGTGGGGTGACTTACCCACATCAATCTGGAGACCTGCCCATCTCCCACCTTCCTCCCTTGTCCATTCATCTACTACTGCTGATTGAATAGTTGGTGCTTACCTGAGAGAAGATGCGTGTACATGGACGGATCACTTGCATTTTACTCTCGGGGGCTGTCCAGCCAGCTGTTGGTTTACCGTATGACCCTGAACATTACTGGCGGGGGAGTTGTGTGCGTTGCTGCTTGCACCAGACCTCTGTACCGTAGGGCCTTCTTTGCTGTTGTGGGAAAGGTGGGGCTGTTTTCTTGATGAAGTTTCTATTGCAGCCTTTTCTGGTTCGGTATGTACCACACCACACTGATACTGCTGACTGGTGTTTGCTATATGAGTGCATCCTGTTCCAGTCTTCACATCACACTGCGCCCTTTTTTAACCAGTATCAGCAGCATTCTCTAATGGAGCCAGCAGCAGGGTAGATGGGGGTGTGTTACGGACGGTACCCTCCAATCAGATGGAACACCAAACCTTTGAATGCGCGCTCACCAGCTCAGCATCTTGTGCTATGGAGGACACATGTTGGTAGCTAATCTCTTACTGCTGGTAGCCTTTTATCACATGCATGGATTCCATTCCATCCCAACCAAGCTGGCTTCACACCACAACACACTGATGGCCTGGATTGGAATACTTACAAGAACCACCACCCAAACACTATCACTAATCATCATACTCTGTGGCATCAACCAATACATCCTTCAAGACTCATCTACAGTATCTTCCGATCAGCACAGAACTACGGTACCCTGCCCCGCCTGAGGAGGAGGAACGGGCGACAGGAAGATGAGGGTGTATTGCTATGCACCCTCCTCAGCCGTCAATCAAACCTCCTTGCATGGCATTACAACCCTCTAAAACTCCTCTATCGTCCGATCAGCATAAAACTGCCCTGCACCCGCCTTCTCAGGCGCCACCGATGCCAGGAAGATGGGGGTGTCTTCACCCTCCTGTGCCACCAATGCCAGGAAGATGGGGGGGGTGTCTTCACCCTCCTGTGCTACCATTCAAACCTCCTTGCATGGCATTGTAACCTCCTCTAAAACTCCTCAGCTTTTCGGTCAGCATAGAACTGCCCGGTACCCGCTTTTTCAGGCGGAACGAGCGACAGGAAGATGGGCGTGTCGGCACCCTCCTCGGCTGTCTTGCGGCCGCGCCATGACGACATGTCCGTTGCACACCACCCGGGACAGCACGCATTCACTAACACCCTGGGAGGGGAAAGGCACGAAGAGATAGTGAGACAGCATGTGAAACATGCATGGGAGCAGCATGCACCCTCCTCTGCTGTCTTGCGCCTGTGCCATGATGACATGTCCGAGGCACACCAGCCGGGGCAGCACGCATCCAAAAACACCCTGAGAGAGCAGAGCATGGGGAACGGACATGAGAGCAGTACCATTATGCGAAGAGCACGCGGCTATGAGATGATAAAGGGCACCAACCTACAGAATCTATACGCCCATCTAGTTCCACTCCAGACTTTCCCATCCGACCCAACTCACTTTTCGCCTTCCTGCCGCGCCTCCACCTGTCTGGCAAGCACGTGCGTGTAGGCGTTCTCTAGGAGCTTCGATATGCCGTACATGGACTCGGGCCACCCTGCTCCCTTATACGTGCCCTCGCTTATCCCCGTTATAAACTCCTCCGCTAGTGCGTCCAGCTCAGCAGTTGTGAGGGTCGGACTGGTGAAGCGGGCCTGATGTGAGACAATGGAAGGAAGACAAAAATGGTGGGTGCTAGAGAGCCTCGAGAATGGACAAAGGGGAATGAGAGGGAAACCAGTTAACAAGACAACCAGAGTCAGTGAGAGTCAGCGAGAGTCAGTGAGAGTCAGTGAGAGTCAGTGAGAGTCAGTGAGAGTCAGTGAGAGTCAGTGAGAGTCAGTGAGAGTCAGTGAGAGTCAGTGAGAGTCAGTGAGAGTCAGTGAGAGTCAGTGAGAGTCAGTGAGAGTCAGTGAGAGTCAGTGAGTGTCAGTGAGAGTCAGTGAGAGTCAGTGAGAGTCAGTGAGAGTCAGTGAGAGTCAGTGAGAGTCATGAATATCCAGAGTTCACCGAGGAAAAGAGGCAGGTTACCTTGAGTGCGGGGGAGACGATGCGGAGCTTCCCTGCACTGGAGCCCACATTCACTATGCGCGCCCCCGCTGGTGGGTGAGAGGGGGAGATGCATAACAGAAAAGGCAAGGAAAGGGAAAGAAAGAAACGGAGCGAGAGAGACAGTCGTAAGTCACTCGTGCGGGGGAGACGATGCGGAGCTTCCCTGCACTCGAGCCCACATTCACTATGCGCGCCCCCGCTGGTGATTGAGAGGGCAAGAGGGCGAGCGGGAGAGAATGGGAGAGGGGGTAAGGGCTAATCGCAAGGGAATTATAGTTGATAAGCGAAAGGAAGGGAAAAGAGGCAGCAGAGAGAGAAGGGAGGCAAAGGCGGCTGCTACCGACTCACATGTGGATGGTGACATCTGACATGGCAGAATCACCTTTGGAGGGGCGCAGCAGGGGCAGCAGCGCCTCACACACGGCTCGAGTGCCTCTGTAGTTGGTGTCAATGGTCTTCCTCGCCTCCTCTGCTCCGAACGTGTTCCCCTTATAAGCCATCCCGGCATTGTTAACTAGCACGTCCAAACCCCCATGCGTATCCTTGAGCCATCTGCAGCAGCAGGTGTGCAGAAGTGAAAGCAATGAGATAAGTGACAGAGAAATTTCACCCTTAATGCCAGCTGCAGGTGCAAACAGGTGGAAATTGCATGTGGGATTTTTTACCACTTTTAGCAAAGATGCAAAGTGATAAACCCAATGATGCATGATGCACGGACACAACAACACGGGGATCAATTGATTGCAAGACGAGAGATTGAGCAATCATAAAGCCATAACCATGCTCGCTGCCACAGTACAGGGAGTGAGCAATCAGTGCACCGTGCAAAGCTGTCGATTGATGATTGGTCGCTGATATCCAGCTGATGAAACTCCACCCCCTGGAGTCCCTCCCCCTGAAGCTTCTTCACAGCTTCCTGCCCCAGACCCGGGTCGCGGGCGGTGAGCACTGTAGTCATCCCTTCGCCAGCCAATCCCCGCGCGATGTAGAACCCGATACCCTTATTCGTCCCGGTTACCACCGCCACCGCCGCCCGCCCTTCGCGCGCCCACGCGTTCTCCATGCCCGCACCAGCCGCTGCTGCTGCGCCGCCGGCGGTAAAGAAGCGCCTGAGAGTGCGTAGCAAGGGCCCTGGGGTTTGGAATTCGGCGCGGGTCTGCGCGGAAATCAGGTCCGCGGGGAAGACGGGAGGGAAAATTAATGGGGGGATGAACCGAGGCGGCAGAAGCGGGGGTTACGATTGACCCGAGGAAGATGTGGAAGGCGCGTTTACGCATGATGGTTGATGGAACGGATTACGGTTATTTCTTGCCCTTCGGGTATAAAAAACGTGAAAGTTGGCGACCTAGCTCTTAGTCCATGTAGGAAAATACTATCTCCACGACCTAAATCATATGACGTTCTACCCATAACTACCTGCAGCGGTTGGTGGTGGGGCAATTGGCTCTCCGCGATGCGCGGATTCGAGTGCAATCGCCGCAGCGAGGAGCCGACAAAGGGCGATGTTGCTGCTGCAACGCCTTGCGACAACGGCAAGCGGATTAATCCCTTGGTTTGTATCGAAGGGACGAGCAACGATGCGCTACAAGCGGCAACAGGAACTACTACGGCAAACATGGGCGATCAGATTCAGCGCTTCTGTGATAATATAGTAGCAACTGATGGTTCGTTTTGGGAAAATTGGTTGGGGAAGATGGCAGCAGAATTGGCGGTGGTGTAGGAAGTGTGTTGGGGTAGCATGAAGGGAACAGGCGGAAATTGCGAAACAAAATATATCGCTCACTGCTCTCATGTCTGGTAACAAGCGTTTCGTATGTTTCTTGGAAAGGCACGTGTCGCAATGTGAGTAGTCCGTGGATGCTTGTGGACTTCTGGAAGCATTGCCCCTAACTCGTTTCAAGCACCACGAGTTGCTGTTTCTGTTTAGAAACAACTTTTACGATTGGAAATCTCACAGCAAACACACCAGCAACATACATGGCCTACGCGGCCTTTCTATTTCCTAAAAGGAAAATAAAATATTTGTATATTTACCTCCGTCCTAAAGGAGGGAACAGCACGCTATCAATGCCATGGATGGCAAGCGTGGGGCCTAGGTACACGTCAGCAGCAACTAAAGTTGCACGCGGGCCTGCTGCCGCAGCGCCTTTTGGTTGGACAAACACCACATAATCAGGCGTTCCGTCCGCCTTCATTACAGTCACCTTCGATAAAGGCGAACCTTCTAGGGTAGGAAGCGGCTGATGATCTGGGTGGGCCAAAATTTCACTATACGTCATGCGAGTCGTGAGTACCGTGAACTCGGAAATCCGGACGCTGTCGTGTGCGTTAAAGGCATCGTCGCTAACTCGCACAAGGGCAGCGGTGCTGGGAGCAAGTATAGTGAGATTCTGACGGAAGAGGCTGTTCGGGCCTGTAGACACTGGGCACACGCAAACACGAAAATGGTCGGAGAGGGGAACGATTAGGAGGGATAGAACAAGTTCAAATTACAGTGAGATAAGCCTCAGCAGCAGGAAACGTAGCACAAGGTGTGTAAACGCACATGCGGGAGCTAGCGTTTCGAGGGCGTATTTGGAGAAGCCATGGATTTGCAGCAGCGCGGCGATCGCATCCTTCAGCTCTTCCCGATACGACGCTGGCGATTCTGGTTCAATTATTGGTCGGCTGCCGGATGACAGGGTGAGAAGATTAGCTGCAATTACTAGGAACGCGGCCAGACAGCCAGACCATTGTCGTGTTCTCCAACGCGAGAAGCACGTCATGATGCATGTGCTGAACAACACGCGCTTATATTATGTTCCCATAGCCTGCTTGACCGGCAAAAAGAGCCTTGCTGCGCGATCTAGGAGGAAATTCCACACTACAATGGCTGGATGTGAGGAACGCCGTTTCGTAACTGGAGAGGTTGTTGATGCGGTTCAGCTGGAGCTGGAAGGGTGTGGGGCAGGGATAGGAAGGAGGGGGGTAGGAAGGGTTGGTTGTTTGTGAGAGACAGCTGCTGCAGCCTGCCGCTCAGTCACCCTCACAAGCGTCTCGCCCACCCAACCCAACCAATCGATCTCCCAAGTCGCGGGGTCAAGCTGTTTGCGGCTTCCAACTGAGCAGGTGATTACGTGACACAAACGCGAAGGACCGCCACAGTGAAACAGTACAGTACATTCACGAGGCGCTGACTTTACAGTAACAGTAACATGCACCTGCTATGCCTCACATTACATCAGTGTGTTTCCTATTTGGAATAAAGAAAATTCCAGTGGATAATTCTTCTGGATACAGATTACAGTGCTTCTGCTTAGTTCAGGACATAGAAGTTCAACATAGATGGATTCCTTTGATAAACAACATATTACAGAGTAAGTGCACAGAGTGTTGGTATCTTGACACACTCAGTACCCCCAGGCTTAGCAGACACACATCTAGCCACCATACAAGACTACCCACACCCACAGTCAAACGCCACACCTTCTCAAAGCAGACAGACGGATAACCCTACAAACAATGCACAGACGGTGCTGGACAAACTACACCTCACAAGCAGGATCGGTAAGCCAGCATATTGCTACACTGCATCACTTGGGAACCTCTTCAGCCCACACCTCATGCCACAGTTGGCTTGGTGCAAGTCATGCCATCAGCAGAAACCACAAAGCCCTCCTTGCACCGGCATCCCGCCTTACCACTAGCTGCATCCCAAAAGCAGGTACCACCCCCTCCGCACTGAGGAGAACCTGCACCTGTCCCACAGAACGCAGTGCATCGCGCAGCAACCCTCTGCGACTTGGCCGTGCAGGTCGCAGTGGAAACCAAGCAATTCCCCTGAACAGAAATTTCATTAGGAAAGTCTTTGCCTGGGCAGATTACGTCGGTCTTCGGCGTGCCTGTCCAATTGGCCGCCTGGATGGTCATCTCATCCTTTCCGAAAAAGTAGTTATTGCTCAAATCAATGATGCTTGAGAACCTGTAACATGAAACAGCGTCGGAGCCCTTGGGGCCGCACCCCCTCCCGAGGTTTGGGAACTTCGGCAAACCTCCAGTGAAGTAGTTGTTCGACACTTTGAAGGCCCGCAGCGATTGGCCGAGATTGGCTAGCGATGCGGGGAGGTAACCGCTCAGCTTGTTGTTGCTAACATCAAGATTCATGAGCGTCGTGGAGAATCCGAAGGTCGCCGGCAGGTAACCGGTTAGCAGGTTGTTGCTGACGTCAAACACCTCCAGCCCGTCCATCCGGCCGAATGCGGATGGAATTCCGCCTGCCAGCTGGTTGTCCGACAAATCGATGACCGAAAGAAGCGGGCAGCCAGACAAACCAGTCGGCATCTGCCCGGTGAACTTGTTGCCGCTCGCGGTGAAAGTCTGGAGATTCGGCGAGTTTTGGAAGAGGGTGTTGGGAATGCCGCCGGTGAAAGCGTTGCCGTCTATTTCGAACATTTGCAGCGGGGAATTCGCCTGCCCGAAGATTTGTCTCCACGGAAACAGCCCCGAGAGCTTGTTATCAGCCACATAGAACTCCTTAAGGTAAGGCATCTTGGAAAAAACACCGCGGGGAATCTCTCCGGTCAGCTTATTCTGGCGGAGATCAAGCGACGTGAGGGCCGTCAGTGCAGCGAATGCCGCGGGCAGCGGGCCTTCGACGCCCGCGGAGACCAGCCGCATGCTGACGACGTTCCCAGAGTCGTCAATATCGAGGCCCTCCCACGCGGATGTGTCCGTACTGCCCTCCTTCCACGTGGAAGCTGCGTAGAAGCCGCTCTTCCAGGCGGCTTTAATGTCCAACAATGCCTTCAGCTGCGCGGTAGCGGGAGCGGTCGGCCCGCTGACGAAATCGTCGAAGCCGATGTAGTCGCTGTTGGGATCGCTGGAGGAAGCTTCGTCGCCGAACGCGGAAGAGAAGAGACGGCGCCGCGAACCGGCTGCGGAGTCACGCACGCGATGCAGGCCGCGGCGAGAGTGCATGCGGTGCAAGTGGGGGCGGTCGTACGTGCGGCCGAGGGCGGAGGTCGCGAGGGTGAGGCATAGGAGGATGGCGAGGAGGGAACGCGCCATGTTTCCGATGCGAACTGCCTGCGTGCTTCCGGGATTCGCGCGGGATTCGCGTAGGAGATGCGATACTACTAGTAAGGAACGGTTGAGAAGCCCGGCTAACCTACGCGGTGTCACTTGGAACAAGGAACGAACATCGACTGTATAGGGAAGCGCCCTAAGCGTTCCTAACTGGATGGAGCAAATAGACGCATGTACTTACGTCATGAGAAATAAGGCAATCTATATGGATAGGTAATCGTTCAGTTACCACAGTCTGGCGAAACCGTGGTTATCGGTCATAACTGCGAGGCCCAAGGTATGACGTGGATGCGGAAACTGAAATCTAACGACGAGAAATTTCTGCTGTGGCATGAAGTCTAGCCCAAAGAGAAGGATGCCGTGGTGAGGTGATGGTTGTGCCCCACAGAGCCGTCCAGAAACGCTCAAGCAGGGGATGGAATGGAACTGGCCGCCTCCTCCATTCCACCCTCTGCCTCTTTCTCGTCCTCAACCGGTCGGGGGAGCAGAGCAGGTGTGCTCCGCTATGCTGCGGAAGGTTTCTGCAGGTGTTTGGGGAAATGCGCCCCCCTTACCCACCCATTCGTCCATCCAGCCATCTTCGTCCCCCCCCTTTCGCTCCGCGCGTTTCCCGCGCAAAGAATCTCGTCGTGTCGTGCGGTCGGGCTTTTCCTTTTTGCCCTGCGCTCGCACATGGTCGCAAGCCTGGTCAGGTTGGTGCCACCGCAGGTTGAGGCGCCCTTTCAGCTGGTGTGCTGACGAAATCTCGTTGGCGTCATCAACAAATTTCGCGACGTAACCATTCAACCTTGACATGGAGCATCACAGATAATCACTCACATATAATGTACTACGCCCATCTGGAAAAACTGTGAACCGCTCTCCAACGTATTGAAACTTACTGAGCGCTGCAAGTCAAAGACGCTCATTGTGGAGGTCGGATTGGAGGGGCCTGGTTGCGAACCGCATGGCGCTGTTCATGTTCAGGTGTGTCGGAATCATTGCGACCACGAATTGCGGCGATGGCCGGTTCCGAGACTCCTTGCGACAGTAGGATGTCGGCCGCCGTCCAAGAAGGCGTTAGTTCTAACGGAACCAGCTTTCAGTCTTGTAATTTCGTTACAAATGTTGTGGATGATGTTAGGGCGTGTGACATTTTCTATTTGTTTCGTCCGGACGGCCGTTCGGACAATTTTGTGGTTACGAAAGTCGTTAAAACTCGCCAGGTAACTCGTCAATATTTGAACGACGTCGTAGGCGTCGTATTGCGTCCTTACGACGCCGTTTGCGTCGCAGAGAAACCTTGCGACGTCGCCAGCTTCGCAAGCGTCCGGACATACGTCGCACAACGTCCGGACTTTTTTGCTGTTTGAAAAATATCACACGCCCTAAGGGCGCACAAGTTCAGAACAGGTGGCAGTTGCAAAGGAGCATGCATATTATTACGATATGAAACTTTATGAGAAGGCATTACTGTATGCTACAGAGACCGACTATAAAGTGTACGAAGCCGAGGAGTCAGAAGAGTCGAAGCGACGCTGGTAACCGTCTGATCAATGTCAGAATGTTGTGTTTCTCTAGTCTGCAGTGGGGTACTCTATACTGAGTACAGCCCTGTTAGGGTTTGCTATATGTATCCCAATGTTTGCTAGTGAACCTCCTGCTTTGCCTATTTTCTCTTGCCTAGCTAGCTAAACCCTAGCTATGGCTCCTCGTTCTGCCTACTATTCTGACATGGTATTAGAGCCTTTGCGCTCCTGGCCTGTGGGCCCACATGCTTCCGCTGCTGCTGTCCTGTCTGTCGCCCGCCCTGTGGCGCGCGACGTTTTTTCTTCCCGCCACGCGCTCGGAGCGCATGGCGGTTTTCTGCCCGCCGTGCGCTCGGGGCGCGCGGCGGTTTTCTGCCCGCCGTGCGCCCCGAGGCGCGCGGCGGTTTGCTGCCTCACGCGTTACCCCGGGGACCCGCGCGTCCCCCCTGTCGATCGTCGCGCCGCCCCCGGGGACCCGCGCGTCCCTCCCCGTCGACCAACGCGCTGCCCCCGTCGACCCGCGCGCTGCCCCTGTCGACCCGCGAGTCGCCCCCGGGAACCCGCGCGCGCTGCCCCGTCGCCCGTCGCGGCGCCCTGGGGGGCTGCGCATCGCCCTTCCCGTCGCCCGTCGCGGCGCCCTGGGGGCCAGCGCGTTGCCCCCCCCTCCCGTCGCCCGTCGCGGCGCCCTGGGGGGCCGCGCGTCGCCCCTCCCGTCGCCCGTCGCGGCGCCCAGGGGGCCCGCGCGTCGCCCCCTCCCGTCGCTCGTCGAGGCGCCCTGGGGGCCCGCGCGCCGCCCCGCTTCCGCTCACACGCCGCCCCACCTGCTGCCCGCGTTTCTGCCCTGCGTTGGAGGGTATGGGGGTGGCGGGTATGGGGGTGGCGGGTGTGTGAGCCGTTCCCTGCTCCTCCTCCTCCTCCGTCTCCCACTGCTGCAGCTGCCGCTGAGGAGGGTGGGTGTGTGGGAGCCGAAGGAGTGGTGCTAGGGGGGTGACGTGGGAGTGGAGCTAGGGGTGCAGCAAGGGGTGTGTGAAAGGGGGGTGGGACAGTTGGGGGAGGTTGAGCGGAGGTTGAGCCGTCGTGTCGCCGGCAGCGCCAGTAGTCCGGAGGCTACAATCTCCGGTAGTCGCCAGTCGCCCGTGGGTCAGTTGCTCCAGCCGCTCAGAGTTAGCCGCAGAGCCAGTTACTCCTGTAGTCCGGGCCTTTGCTTCGGTAGCCACTGAGCCAGCCGCTACCGTGTGTCTGCAGCATCCGGCGTCGCCTCCCATCTCCTCTCCTCTCACATTCCCTCCTCCTCACTTGCCCTCTGTGAATGCCTCTAGCTTTGCTTGCTGTGCTGATTATACCCCACTTTGACTATGGGGGTGTGTCAGAATGTTATGTTTCTCTAGTCTGCAGTGGGGTACTCTATAGTGAGTACAGCCCTGTTAGGGTTTGCTATATGTATGTTTGCTAGTGAACCTCCTCCTTTGCCTATTTTCTCTTGCCTAGCTAGCTAAACCCTAGCTATGGCTCCTCGTTCTGCCTACTATTCTGACAATAAAGACCGATGCAGGCAGAAACATTCGAAGTGAAAAGAGCGGGAACAGGTTTGAAACGAGTTCCCGCGCCGCACGGTTTGAATTCGCTGCAATAAGGGAATGTACCCCTTAGAGTACATGGCTAGTCTAGGTCTTTTCGTATTCCCTTGTATTCCTATATAAACCCGATGTATGCATGCTATTATCAACTCAGTCATTTACATTCACTCTGGCCTGAGATTCAAACTTCCGCTGCAACACTACCCTGCGATCAACCCTGAGCGATCCTTCGCTAAGTCCCAGTTGGGATTGTAACATGGTATGAGAGCTACTCAGGGATTCTTCGCAACTTCACTTCCGTGAAATTCGCCGAACCAAGATCTGGCGAGCGACACACGCTCCAAGAACAAGATGGCCGGAGGATCCGGAGGCCAAGCAAATCTGACGGCCGAAGGACAAACCAACCCGGCTGCGACAAATGAGGCGACAACCACGATAAGCACTGCCGCACTCGAGCAGTTATTTTCGCGACTATCAACTATGGAGAAAGACCTCCAAGAACTGCGCAAAGGCGATGCGGGAACCTCTTCCCAACCAGTTCAACCTGGACAACCGGCCGCGAAAAGCCGTGATACCGCCGCGCACACCTTCTCCCTCTACACAGACAAATCAACAACAACTGCCCCCCGTCCAAGTGATGAAGTTATCAACTCTGCGCAAGCACGCTTTCTCTGCGTTTCAAAAATTAAGACTACTGCCACATTTGACGGCAAGGACTTCTATACATGGAGTTTCGAGCTTGAGTTCCTCCTACAAACAGCGCAGATCTACCATTACTTCGACGGCTCCTACGCAAAACCGGTGGAAGACACCGACGACGCCAGGGCTCAGTACTACAGCGAGTCCCTCATGGCATACAGTATGCTGCTTCGGAATATGACGCCTGCAGAACAACTTAGCATTCGCTCCTACAAAGAGAGTGCCGCTCCAGCCTTGGAAGCCTGGAAGCACCTCGTTGAGGTATATCAGCCGAAGGATTCGGTCACCGCCAGCAGGCTCCTGCAGCAACTCATGGAGACGAAGATGGGGCACGGGGAGAAGGCAAATTCTTACATTAACCGCTGTCGGAACATACGTGACCAGATCACGAAGCATGGGAGCGCAATCTCAGAAGAGATCTTCGTTAATATAGTCCTTCAAGGACTCGGGCCAGAGTGGAAGCCCTGCAAAGCGCTACTCCGACAACGCGGAATCATCTCTGAAGCCACGCTATGCGCCGCTCTCCTGACTGAACAGCAGGACATGGACTCGAGCAGAACAAGCTCCGCGCCGCGCCGAGAGCGCCTCGCCTTCTACACAGACAACCGTGAAGAGCGACGACAACCAAGGCGCCATTATTGCAAAATATGCAAGGTCTTCGGACACTCAACGGATCGATGCAAATCCCGATCCAACTATCGCCACCCAAATTCCACTCACCACAACAACTGGGTCGGCCGACAAGACGCTCGTCATTCTCAGCCCCAGCATCAAAATTTACGTCCTCCTGCACAGCATCAACAACAGCAAGGACAAGGACCTCAAGCGGGAGCCACGAGGAACGTGATCGCCAACATGACGACAAAACGTCGTCCTCGTGCCGCCGAACTAGATGAGGAAGAAGAACCTCGCGGCGAGCTCATTCAACCTGAAGAAGGGTGGAACAACCCTCTCACAGAAGATCACTACTACCGCTATGACGAAGACGAGCAAGATTGGCATCAGCCAATGACACTGCGGGAAAGCCCGCCTCATGACAATCAGCACTTCGTACCTGTGGGATGGAAAGAAGACGAAGATCCATTTTACCACAGACGCTATAAGGCGATACTGGTGACTCCGCGACTCGCGCTGCTACTGCGCAACAACAACACCGACAACTACAACACCTGGTACCTGGACAGCTGTTGCGGACAGC